GTTTGCTCAAGAAGAACGCGTCAGCAGTCTCGCCATCGGCGATGGCAAACTCTTTCGAGAAGTGAACCAAAATCACCTTCCGGGAATTCAGTTCATCGGTAGTAGCAAGGGGTGACGGAGCGGAAATGTCCTTGATTTTTGTGCAATTGAACTGCTCTTCACCGCTCCATGTAGTGCTTCTTCTAATCCATCCGTCCACGCACTCCATATGGTAGCATTCCATCGTCCAGTTTTTCAACCAATTATCTACAGAGTATTTCCAGGAGGGAGAATGAAACATATTTTTATGACTGGTAGCGGCATTAGCAAAAAAAACTTAGTATATTTGCGTAGCAGCTCGCAGACCATACACGTAACACCACTATATATATGCATGTACAGACATCTGTAGTACGAGTACTTGGTTGCTTAATTATAATGTGCCGTAATATGCTGCACCCCTATTGAGCCTGCGCTCACAGCTATCGTCAAAGATGGTGCACCAAGCGCAATTCTGTTACACACAAGGAGAAACTTAACAGCAGTTAGTAAATGGTGTCGCTGGCACAAGTTTGAAAAAAGTATGCAATTAGCAGAATAAGGATCTAGTGATGGCTTTGGTGAAACAGTTAATAAAGTATAAAGCCCGACGTGGTCACAATGAATGGGTACCGTCGTGTCAAAAATAAGTCAGTAGATTTAATATAGAATTATTAAAGTACGATTTTTAAGGCGTAAAGGAATGCATAAGTTTGCTGCATTTATCGTACAGAAATTCTTTGAGATCCTTCACCTTTCGGCAAAAGTTGTCCTCCTTTCCATCAAACCGTGCGCTGGGGCAGGATTTATTTGAGCAATCTTCTCATCCATACAGATCGTTGTAAGCGACTTCACTAGAATATTTCCATTATTCTAGACGCTTCCTCTTCACGACGAGTGAATGCATCAAAGATGTGACTCATACTATATGTCTCAAAGACAATAAACATACCGATGTACCTGGATAATTTAAAGGGTCGTTGCAGCGGCAACACTTGTTTTTTTCAATTCAAAAACAAGCGTTGCCGCTGCAACGTACTAGGTAGCTTTATTACGGAAACTGGCCCTTTGCACGGCATAAAGTTGGCAGTGGGTGGGTAGAAATTAAATGAAGCGAAAAACATGCTAGTAACACTTTTCTTAGAATGAACTGCAGTATTCAGCCTGTGATGTGTTTTTGAACATGCACGATTGAATACAGCGTTGAGGAGCTATGTACAGTAATTTCATCGTTAACGGTTGGAACGGAAGAGGCGCTGCAACGTACGATACACTATTTGAGTTTATTGTTTAATATTTAAATGACACCAGACAACACGATATGCAAAAACTCCCATGTTTTGTGAACACCGTTTCAATAGAACAGTTTTCAATAAAACATATGCGGTTCTGTCATGGGCACTTTTCAGAAATCTCAAATTTTTAATGAGCTTCGGTTCTCCTAAATGCGTTTTAACACATATACAGCAATGGTTTGAATTAATTATCAGTCATAGAACAGTTTTCTATTCGCGTTTAATTCAAAAAGAACAACTGCCGGCAACAAATTAGTAACCAAGTTTGGCACAATAAGCGACGGTCGCCGTCGGAGATTATTGAGCCGGCATGTCCAGCGGCTTCCCAAACTGTATTATGAAGCTGTACCTAACAATTTTGGACCAGTACAGACTGCAGATGTACAGATAAGGCATATCCAGAAACAAGAAAACTGCTAAAACATACAACCAGCTGCGGAAAAAGAACGGTCGAGTTAACGTAGTATCCGTTGAAACTATCATTGTCTCCTGGAATCCGGGAAGATTAAAAATGGTTTTTAAGTTATAATTTTCATCGCGGCAGCGGTTGGCTTCTTGGAAGTTTTGTTTCTTCCTTTGGAACTCTTTCCCCGTTATGCTATCGGCAAAGATGAATGTCTTCGACATTTGAATTAAGGTAACCTTTAGGGTGTTGAGTTCATCGATGCTTGGAAGCCGCGAAGCGGATATCTCCTTAACATCAACACATTTGAATTCCTCTTTACCGCTCCATGTCGTACAAATTAACCCATATTCGGTTCCGTCGTTTACCGTATGGTGGCAATCCATCTCCCAGCCGAGCCAAGGCTGGCCTGAAATTGATAAATATTGAAATAAGCGAATACTCATGCACGCTTTTTTTCGACGTTAGAATACGCAGCAAGTCGAATTATTGCAGTAAGTACAGTGTCATTTAAAACCGTAAGGTCTATCGATATTCACACAGATCAAAGTGTCGAAACGCAAGCAATTTTTATACGGGGCTCAATATCAGTTTTGTTCTTCCTGTTAAAAAACAATGAAAATCAGTTAACATTAATTACAGAGTGTATAGCAATTTAAGCTTGTTGATATCGGCAATAAATAGTACTGTGGTGCCAAGTCGAAACAGAACTTTTTTTTACAGTGAGTCGTATCCGTTTAGCATGTAACTCACTGTACGGGCGGGTGCTGTTTCGACTTGGCACCACAGTAACCGCTAATACGAAGCCTCTCAATTGTTTCGGCCCGAATTTATTTTTTCACAATAAGATGTACCTGAGCGAGCCTTCTCGATATTTGCGTACAACTAAGAAGGTGATACAACCACGAAATCCTGAAGAACGTCGAGGACTGTGGTGGGTGAGTTGCACAGAATGAACCCCACGTAAAACAAGTAAGGAGAAACCAACGCCAAAATTACAATCAGAGAGCTGTCGTCATGCTTGTCACGCTTGTGTGCCAGATATATTGCCAAGTAAGTGAAACCTGCGTACCACGCACAGAAAAAAAGTCTAATGCTAATATCCCTCCAGGTCAGCATCATCGGTCTGCGGAAAAGTCTCAGGAATAAATTCCGCAGGTAGACCAGAAGGTGGCAGCACCCACACCAAGCCGGCGACACTTTTCCAGTTGGCCAACAATAATATTCCTTAACCGTTCGAGTAACCTCTGGAGGGATTCCTTCCATTTCTTAAAGCGAATGTTGGCTATGTTACCGTGCACTGGTGTAGCAGTTAGATGTTCGTCCTTTGCATCAAAAGATGGGGATTCCATATTGATCTTAAGGTCCATCGTGCTAGTATATAAGATAGAGAACTTGACACTACCGATACAGGAGAATTTCTCTAGCACCGTTCAGTTATCTTTACGCCGCACTATGATATCAACCGGGATGAATGGTTTTAGCGCTTATGAATGCCAAAACCATACGACTCGCTCTTTTTAAATAATTGCGCCGTACCTGGCAGCACACGGAGCGTTCGTTTTATCGTTGGTAACGTACGAATAAGCGGTGGAATCAGCGTACGAATTACGGTAACCGTTCTACTGCCGTTGCAAAAAATAATGCATAGAGTTGCTCAGAACAAAATGTACCGAAAGCCGCAACAGTCAAGCAACAGTAGTTGCGTTAACGTGAACGACAGCGATTCGCGCACATGGTAGACTTTTGAACGTGGCACGGTTGAAAATCGCCGAACGAAGCTCACAATACGGCGCATGACGCTTCTAGACTGCTAGTTTCATCAGCCAGTGAATGATATCATTTTCAGCAGCGGTAGCACAATGCACATTATGCTACGCGAATAATTATTCTAATGGAGATTGAGCGGCGTTTGGAACTTTCGTCATGAAAGCGGAACTACGCCGCAAGGCAAACTTATTTTTCATTCTCGTCTACCGGTTTCGGTGCTCAGTTTCCGAGCAAACACATGACAGTAATGGCACACGGCACGAAACCGACTTCTCTCGTGTATTTTATAAAACAAAAAAAAACCGTAAAGCTGCAAGCACCAGTAATCATTAGGAATAAAACTTTATGGATAAGGTGGAAGGCGATGACCAACACAAAATGACTGCTTACCATTTACATACGAGCGCAATACCCGACAAGTATTACTCAACAAAAAGCGGTCTCAACAACAGTATTCCCACGCGTTATTAGGTGGTCAGTGAACAATTTTGATCGGGACACCGCCGCCCGTCGCACGAACGCGCGCAGTGAATACCTAATGCTCATTACGTACCACTTCAACAATTCGACCAATTATTTGTCGAAACGCATTCATAGTATTTCCCGCGTCTTCCAACGGTATTCATCATCGTGTCTGCCTGTATCCATCGGTATTCCTCCATGTTAACCTGTTTTCTTAGTAAGAATACCGGTGGAATACAGGGATCTTTGCAGAGAGACGCTTAATGGATACGGAGCGGATAAGGTGGGCAGAACACGAACGCATACCGACCGAATTCGCGAGAATACTATGTACGCATCAAAAAATAATGGGACTATTTTTTGGAATGATATGAAATCGTCCTTATATCCAGTGAAGGCAGACGCACTGTGCCGATCGACTTTGAATACGAACAGAACCCGCAACCAAAGCACGATGCTTACCTTGTTATGTAGTGAGCTTACCGATGCAGCACGTACCAACGTTCTCAATATGGACGAATGCAGGATAGAGCAGTAAGAAATTCGGAATTAATCACACTCCCTGGCAGCGTTTGGGTCAACAGTCCCACATATTTTTGCGTTTTGAGCTGTGCGTAGGAAGATTGTTAAACAATGGTACAGGGAAGAAATACAAAACGACGGAATTCATTCAGTACGGGCGAAGTCAGAGCGAAGGAAGCTTTTTTACTGTTGAGCCGCAAAGAAGTAAAACCAAATTGTGAAACACCACAGCAATAATATGTGAAGTTATGCTATCTGGATTTCTTGCGATTGGCATGCATAGCAAAATGAATAGCAATACAAAATAAGACGTAGTCTTGTTGACCTACTGTGAAAGTATGATGCCGCAAAATAATAAATTTCAATTAACAATAATTATGAGTACCAACTACTAAGTATACGAGTATCTTTACTAATAGTAATATTTAGTATACAAGTATCTCTACATAATATTACATTATGTTATGTTATTACATTATGTTATGTCTTCAACTGATTTAATGCATACTTACAGTATTACAGCGCTGTTATTTAAACAGAGAGACCGTAGAATTTATAAAAATGTCAGCGTAATAAAGGCGTCGTAATGACTGCTGTTTCAACATTAGCACTAGCGATATTCATTTCGCGAAATTTTCATGCTACGCTGCATCTAAATGATACAACGAACCGGTATGCAGAAAACAGTTTGTCTGATCATATTCGTACAGCAGTATTTCTTTATCGCTCTCGCTCTTGACGTCCAGTTTCAGTAAATCTAGCGCTTCGTTCCGATGATCCGAGCATTCCGACACCGATCCGCTCCACTCGCTCCGCCCACCGTGGTGACACGCATCCTCTGCTCGCGGTCTATGGAAACCATTCAAATTCCCCGTTAAAATATTCTCCAAATAATTCCAATCGGAATCCGACAACTGCGGCACCAGCGTCTCGGTAGCACCGAGGAAATTCGTATTATCCAGAAAATCATCAAACTGCAACTTAATTAGCGGCTCCACATCGGCGGACCCCGACGATTCCGAATGCGCTGCTTGGCTTTCCGGCGTGTACGTCGACGATTGGAATAAATAATTTAAATACGACAGGTTTCCGTTCTCCTCCCATTGGAGCGGATGGTTGGGCGGGGTGTCGCAGTTTTCCTGGTTGCTGATGGGGGAAATCGGGATAGGGGAGGGGACGCTGGGACGGCTGCGCTTCCGCGGTGGGGGCTTATTCGGTAGGTCCTTGCTCTTCCGCTTCACGGGTTTGGGTTTATCCTTTGATTTTTTAGATTTGGGGGTGTTGGATGGTATGTCGTGGAGGACGGACGATTTTATTTCGGGTTTTACCGGGCGGATGGGTTCGTGGAGGTCTTTCCCAATGGCGTCGGTTTCGTAGATCCACGGATTTTGTTGGAGTACGCGCCGCTCTTTTTCGCTGTAAATTCAAACGTTTTTTTATCCAACTTGCCTAGTATTTTTTATTAATGAACGAGGGTTGGTCCTATTAAATAGCCATTTAAATTCGCAGCCTCGTTGTACAGAGAAAGCTTATTTTAACGGCAATCCGTTTTTTTACATCGTTACCTTTCGGGTTTTTAAGGTGAAACATAGATGCTGATACAGTTATCCTACAAATTTAAAATATATTGAGCTGTCCATACCTTAACATTTGGTAAGTGCAGAGAATACGATTGCACACCACTGTCTCTTTCTCTTCATCGTCGGCTTTTTCAGGATTTTTCCCCAGCTGATCGGTGTTCTCGAGGTTGAAACCAATAGTGTCTGGCACCGGCAGTTGCTTTTTATTAGTCATTGCACTCAACTGGATACTGCGATCATTAAGGAGCTGCAGCACTGCATGACACCAGATCCATTTTCCTGACTGACTGAGGATGCGTACAAGCAGCATGGCGGAATGGCTCTGGATATCATCCATGCTGCACACTGTAATAAACGAAATTAAACAAAACAAATACGCCGAGCCCAAAAAGTGAAATTACCTTCGCTGCTGCGATATAATTATTACGAACTAATGTTTCTTTAATGCCCGGTATAACGTTTATTACTGCCGTTTAATTTTCTGGTAATACGGTACCGCTGTAGTAACGCTTACGTTAACTTGCATGCGTTGGTGTCTATTTAAACGGTTACCTAATTGATGCGCTGCGTGGGCGCTGTGCATATCGTCCCAGTGCAGCAGTTGGTACCATGACATGCCCAGAAGCCGGCGGTATCCGTATCCCAGATGCTCCTTCGTTCTACATCGCATTTTATGAGGACAAAGTGTCAGGAGCCGCGGAACGTACCAACTTACAGTCGATTGGCCCCGATGACCTTCATATCCAGCTGGTGCAGCGTACTGAACGTCCTTCCCACCCCGATGCCGTTAATAAAGCTCTCTCGGTTCTCCGCGGTTAACAGGGCATCCACCGTGGCTAGTAGAGAACGACCCTCCAAGGGGCGGGGCGCCAGGAGGTCCAGTGGTTGCCGGATGTGGGGAAGCGGCAGGAAGTTGCCGGATATGATGACCAGCTTGGAGGACGTGGTAAAAGTCTGTAAAAAAATTATGTATAGGCTGTTGTGCCAGTATATTGTGGCCAGTAGTCCAGTACGATTCGACCTTTCAAAACTTTATTTGGAGCAGCTGAAATTACGAAAGACAGAGCACGGGGCGCAATGACACAAAAGTAATTTCATTTTGTACACTAATTCATCATCGAAAATTTTGCCTACCTGAGTTAGTTAATCCATAAATATAGAACTACGCGATATTTCCGCATTTTAAAAAAAACTTTTAACTGTTTCATCTTACAAAATCGAAATCACTTTTAATTTTGACGCAGTCATTGAGAGAATTTGTCTCCGAGATGGCGAGTAGCCATTGCACTACGCTAACCGGCAGTTAACCAGTATACGCACGCCTTATCGTGGCTTCTTCTAAAGCGTCGTCATTATAGATATACGTGAAAGAAATTACTTATTCCTTCGAATCTGTGAGTTGATTTAAAAGTCCTGAGTTTGTTAATTCCTCCATTAAATCTGTTAAATTTGTGCACACAAGAGAATCCGGGCATTCAACTTTTATCCAAATGTAAAGTCAAGCCAACCTTTTGTTCGGCGAAGCGTCCTTGACGCCGCATATTCCGCGGGGAATTGATACGACAAACGAAAGTCCGTTCCTGGTTGTAGTCGAAGCCGGTATTGACTAGAGGAAACGCGGGATTATACTGCAGCGGCGTTGAACGGGAACGCTCCGGGTCGAGGTGCTGCTTTAAGGATGAATGGTCAGCGCGATCAATCAGATCGTAGAGCGTGTCGCCATGCGATAGTAAATCTTCCTATTAAGAAATTAATAACTGATGTTGCAGTGCAGTTATAAATTAAAAAATCAGTCAGTATGATATTTCCTCGAATTTTATTAAAGCTACTGAATTCAAAGCAGACCTGATATTTGTATTCGAAATTGGGCTAATCAATTTGGTTAAATCGGTAATATTTTTTAAGTTAGGAAAATTGTGAGCGTTCCAAGAATTACTTTTCTTTTTGACACAAATTACTACTTTGAAGTTAAAACAATTTCAAAGGCAGAGTTTTACAAAAATTGCAAGTGCTAAATTAAATAATTGAACTCGGTTTTCTTCTGGATGATTTTGTCAAGTTCACCGGTTACGTAATTATGAAAAAAAACGGTTGCGTAATCGGAACTCGCATCTCAGCGTCCGTCCGAGCGATCATCATTTTCTCAAGTTTCTAGTTCACCGGCCAAAAGAAAAATCACTTAATACATATCATTTTTTCTCCTCTCAGCCGTAATGCGCATCAGCGGTTTGGCATTGATGTGTTGTCTCATTTGTCTCTTAAAGAATCGGATATCTGTCCGCCTCCGCCTGCTCTCTCACTCTCAAGTTCTCCTTTCTGACCGAGACCCACTAACCCACAGCTGACACACACCGGCTAATTGCTGATTGCACCAATCAGCACTGCAGCGTACGTACAATGCCAGCCAGTGTGTTCAAGAAGAAAACAGTGGCGTTCCGTTTCGCTACAGCTGTGTCTGTCTGTTTTGCAGCATCTCGCGCGCTCTTCTCTATCTGTTCTCTGTCTTCTTTTCACCCGCAACCGGAACTACTACGCGCCTGCATTATTACGCTAGACGCTGCTGTGTAGGGCTGTTGGTCGTATAAATGCGCGGTTAATCAAGGTCGAGTGATGCGCGCTGATTGACAGACAGACGTCGGATGATGCAACCGATCGGAGAAAGGCCGCTATTTTGTTGCGAATCTGGCGATCACTGATGCCTTACCATGTTCTGGCCCATTGTGTCGGCAGCGTTGTCGCTAATGAAGAGAATTTTCCCGTCTTGACCACACAATAATACAGAGCATTTCAGCGCCTGCAAATAAGCAAATTAAAATAAACAAATTCGAAAGTTAATCACCAGTCTACGTACATTTTAAGAACTGTAGGTAAAATCAGTACAAATATTAAAATAATATTCTAATAAAAAATAGGTTACATAATCTAATAAGCGTTCTGGTGCCACTTTACAGTTTTAAGTTTCTGCTTTTATTGATTATTTATGATCTGCCAATTTTATTATAAAGACAAGGAAAAATGGAATTCATAAAACTGGGTTTATTCAAAAATAAATTCGTTCGGTTATTATTTACGTATTACGTAAAATTGCTAATACATTTACATGTAGTTAATCTAACACTGTATTTACCGACAAAAGGTTCTCGGTTTTTATGAAAATAAATGTTTATAATATACTAAACTTTACTAAACTTTGTTTACTTTGCTAAAATCCGTCGCTAAAGGAATGTCCAAACTGGGCAACTGCTGATTGGAATACGTCAGTAATCGCCTGGCCGCATTCAGGCGTTGCGCCGCGTTTAGAGCTGCATAAAAATTAAATGGTCAGTTAATAGCAGTTTGTATCGGAAATAAGCGCAACAACGACGTACAGTAAGCGAAGAAACTGGTCTTGCGCAGGTACACACAAATACAGGCCATCAGCTGCAGTTGGGAGAGACGGTGCCGGACGTCCTGGGGAAAGGGGAGGAGCTCGCGCAGATGGTTGATCTCCCGGTTGATCAGGTCACGGCGCTGCTTGCTCTGGGACCGCGTCGACCTGCAACAATATTCTCATGCTGACCGTCATCAATAAATGCTGTACTTGCCAATTAACCGACAGTTGTTTTAAACTGGTATTTTATTATGTATAAATGAAGATCTTCTAAATTCCAAGTTGTGTTTTACTGCGACAAGGGTTCATGAAAGACGCTGTGGATCTGATATAACAAAAATTCGATTTTAAGAACTACACGAGCCGGCTTACGATTTCCCGCCTAAATTAGCTGGTCTTTGTCCACGGCATTCGACAAAGGCTTGTTTTAAATAAACAGAAAACTTCCTGTAAATTCGTTGTAAGGCAATCATAGAAAGACATTTACGCTTACATTCAAAGCTTGTAAAAATTTTATCGGCGAAATAGACTTCAACCAGTAGATAAATTTCCAAAAATAATTTTAAATAAAAATTAGATGCTAAAATCAGTACAAAATTTTGTTTGATCGTACCGGTCCCAGGAGCGATTATCCAGCAGATCTTCCGCCTCATCCTGTAAATCATCCAGGATAAACATCCTCTCTTCGACGTGGCTGACCACAACAGCGCTTCCGCGTAATCCGCTTAGCGCGAAAATATTATTCAGTCGACCCAGATTGACATAACCGAAGATCGAAAACTGAAACAGATGCCGGTAGTGTTGTGCAAGCTGTGTTTCTTCGATTGGTCGCAACCTTGATCAAGTGTGCGCGGCAGCGGATGGACAGTATACACACCGGCTAATTACATATACCGCGATCGCCTCCGCGCTTGCGCTACAGAAAACAAATCTAAGGTTTCACCCGATGGAAGAAGGCCACTACGCGGATGAGTGGACGGTGATTCTGTGCATATGACTGTGTTTGTGTGTAGCTATGTGTGTTATGCATCAGCCGGTGAAGTGAGGCGTTCTTTGCCGACAATTGCAGGTAGTAAAAACCGCAAATTATCAGCCGCGGCATTTGTTGCAGCAGGCCGGCGGGAAAAGTGTGTCAGACCTATAAATCAACCACATATTTCGATACATATAGAAAGAACACTTTAAGTCTATTGTTGTGATGGTTGGTCAGATGCAGTGCCGGGGTAATGGAGGTATCAAAGAGTGCACTTGTCAGATTTTGAGGCAACACAGTTGGCCGGTGATGTTGCGCGGAGATTTGTTGCTCTGCACAACTTAGCGATGTAGCAGTTTCTGAGGTAGAGTATTTACTGATGTCGTTTACTTGGTAAAATTTTTTCTGTTGCAATAAGATTTTACGCAATTTAGTCTACGCGAATATTAGTATTGTGCACTACTATGATTTTGCAAGTTGTCACATAGGGATTATGAGCAATTAATAAGATACGGTCTGCGCGATTACTAAATAATCTGAAATATGGTTTCCGATAATTTTTCTACGATTATAAAAATGTTACACTTTTAAATGAGCTACTGTATTTTTATTGAACGCATGTGCATTATTTTAATTAAATACTACGATGCAAGCCCCGGCTTGTAGGCTGACGTAACTTCTGTTTTCACTAATGCGATTACTGATTTGTCGAGCTTTGCGTATTATTCTACATTTGTCACCCATTTGTAAGTGGTAACCTAAGCCGCCAAAAAGTATTCAAACTCAAAGAAATACGAATCCCGAATTACGTATAAGTAGAGTATTAATCGTAAGTGCGTCTCCTCCAAACCTCCGGCTACGTTTATTAATCAGTTCCTGTTGCAGTACAAACTCAGTAGGTATGTGACAGTTTAACACTATATTCAACTGAAATGGGAAAACACTTTATAAAAAGTGAATACCGGAGAAAAACTATTATGCACGACTACGAGTAAAAGGTATGCATACGATAATAATTATGTAAATAGCATCCGAAAACCAAAGGTGACAATTTTCGATTTTTTTCCGGCTGACAACTGAGCCATCGCACTACGATTGATTACTGCTTGATTGATCGCATTGCACATTTACATAAAACTAAGTAACAGTTTTATTCAGGCAATAGCCAATAAAATAACAACAAGCCTGCGCAGATGGACATTAAAAAATAACTGATCACACATTAAAGAAACAACCAACATTTACATTGTCTTATTGCAGATTACAGCATGGGCAATACTGTATTTTGCATCACCAGTATAGGTTAGGTATCTAAAAACCTTTAAATTGTTTAATGCGAATTTACGCGTACATGCAATTAAAAATATCACGGAAAGTCTGTACATCAGCTGCTGTAATTATTTAGGATGAATCGTCCAATGAGGAAGCGCTTTCTGATGCGCTCTGCCCACCCACTGTTTAAGCTGACCAAAGGTGATACCATAATTATTATTCCTGTGTCAAATTGCGTTTTGTTCGACTGAGCAATCATCAAGTTGTTGCGGCACGAATGTCATGCTACGTACCGTAACGTACGCCATTTTCTGTATCCCCGGTTTCTTCTGGGCCTCCCTCTGCCAGCGCACACTATAGAATTAATCAGACTTGAGCCCTGGCACAGGATGGTACAGAAGCAAACCAGCTGAATGACTGCTTTCCGATTTCCGCAAAATGAATTGAAACTATTCCCTGCACAGCTTTGAAACTAAATTCGCCGACCGTATTCATGTTGCATAAGAAAAAGTTGGGAAAAATTCCAGTTCAGACGAATCCAGCGCTATAACTAGACTATATGCTCGATGCCGGGAGATATTTACCGAAAATTATGTTTAGACAGAAAACATATCTGTTCGCAAGAGAAGCCTTTAGTGTCCAGTTTATATAGCATTTTCAGTTCAGTCAATCACTGATGACATTTCGTCATCCTCGAACGTAAGATCACGTTCGAGGCACCGTCCGGGTACGGAGTTTCATCGAACACTGTTGTTGGAACGTCAGACTCCGTATAATCTCCGACAACGTATTCGCATTGTTATGCTAAATGACATCGTCGAACAACGCTCTAAGCTATGACGGAAGACCCACAAATATTCCACGGTGTTTATTACACGGCTTAGACGTACTGTACTGTATGACATTCCAGGCTATATAACGACACTAATTTTTTTATCGTTTTGTACAAGTATCGCCGTATCCATACCAGTATTGTGAATGGCATCCTGTACAGGATGTAGTATCGTCATATCCGTACGGATGCATAACGTGGTCGCCGGGAGCTCCTGTAAAATAGGTTAAGAGCAAATAATGCGCCTTGTATTTATGTGGCATTATAATCTCCTGTGTATATACTACAATGTAAACCGGACGGAACGTTCCCAGCGACCACACCCATCAAGTGACGCACAAATTTGCTGAAACCGCTCGACTTATTATTGAATTCGCTACGATTCCTCAAATTTTGTTCTGTCTTTGGTTGTTATTGATGGAAAACCAAAATCGTAGGATAATCGGCGTTAGCTGTCCGTGAAATAGCTACTCGTGCTTATCTTCTTACGAAAGGTTGCAGTTCTTCATAATTCTGTAAGAATAATGGGTAGTAATAACATTAATCTTTTGTAAGTATAGGTAATCTTTTTTTGGCTCTTAAGATTGCTCCTATGACATTTTTTTCATGCTCCTCTTAAATTCTCTTCGGGTGAGTACCGTCGCCGCAGAGACAGTAAAGCTGAGCCAATCAAAGTAAAATAAGAAGTGCGGCTCTTCTCCTCTAATGTGGTTGAACACAACAACAACCACGCTTTGCACGGAACCCGGAACCAGGCGGAGCAACTGGCTGTCAGCGTCCACAGGTGAGTTCCGGCTGTGAAATCAGTTGTGCTAATAGTGTGATAAAAACGACTCATACCGGCATCATTTTTCTGTTTACTGCAGAATGCAGTTTATTATACAGATACATCATACATGTACCGAATACATGGACTGTGATGATAGCCTAGAGTAGAACATTTGCGCAACATAATATTAACACTTCTCTATCCTCTATCAGAAGCACGTACTGTACGGCTAATCTAGTGTTGGATAACGCTTAATTATCAATGTTCGCTGTCTGCACATAACTTATTTATTTTGCTTGCATCCTGTATGCATATGCCCAACTATAACCGGCCAAAAGGTGTTCGGACAGCCTTCTAAGAAACGCCGCCATAAATTTTCCGCGCCCAACTTTCTCTTTGAAATTTTCGTTAACTGGAAGTAGCCAGACCGAAAGTGTTTTCTTGTCCAAATGTCGTTTGTCATCAAGTTTTTTCGATTACATATAGCAATACTTCTTAGCACTGGCAGCGTTCAGTTGTAAAGCAGCCCAAAATGGCCAGCTTCTAGGCCTTCCGCTGTCAGCGCACATTCGCAAATAAGACAGGTGCACTGACAGAGGAAAGCGTAGAAAAGGACCTACTTCCTGCCCTGAACGCGTACTCTGGTAAAAAGTGAGAACCGGCACAATCCAACAACCAAAACAAGTAAAATACCGATATAAACACCACAAAATTGGCCAGTTTATATAGCGTTCTGCTCTACTGTAGTTTGCTCCCGTGAAGAAATGCACTGCGTATTGGTAATTTACTATTAGGCTACATTGCGTTACAACACTAGCGGAAACGCAGTCACCAACGCCACCAATCAGCGGAAGCCTTGTTCACGCTGCCGTCACTGTTGTTCAGTGTGACACGTTTGCAACGCACCATTCGTAACACACATTTTCTCAATCTTATCACGGTGGACCAAATGGTACAATGGCGACAGTTACAGCGACATATGGGTTACCGGAAAACAGTCTCGATTCACAGCGAAATAAAAATGACGGGAAATGACGCAGTTTGTATCTCACTCATTCACAGAAAACCCGGTCAGGCCGCAGCGGCGTGTCACGTGTGTATGGAGTGGCTGTTTACTAAAGCACCATGTTACATGCCTTATCACTAGAGTACATCAGTGCGCCTACACGGAAGCACTTACAACGTAGTAACCGTTGTGTTTGTTTATCTGGTTAATCATTGCAGCTACGTGTTGCCAGTTTGCGCCTTCTTCCCGTTTGTGAATGCACGTATTATTGTTTAAAAGCATACTTAATTTTTGATTCTACATCGCTCTCAAATAAATCAAAGAAAATTCCGTCCCAAAAATACCAAGAACTCATGAATTAAGATGCATGACTTCTCTAATACAGAAAACCCAAAAAGTTCGAATGCCGGCTCACAAATCCAGACGTCAGTTCGGATCAAAGAACAATAATTTATGGTGAACCATAGCAATCATGTTCGATATATTTTATGCTGTACTTTGGAAGCTCTTTCTGTAACCAAGTTTTGTTTTGTTTTACACAAGAAGAGCAACAGCACTGTTATGAGAAATCGCAGAGTATCTTGACGCAGTTATCATAATCAACAGATCTTTAGGCGTACCGGGAATTCCCTTCTAATACACAGCTCATAATCAATATACGGTAAGAAATAAGAAGATTACTAAGAACTGTAGATTTCTGGAAGAAAACTTAAGGGTTTCAGTCTGAACTGGGTGCAAATTGAGAGACCGAGTCTGGCAGAGTCAACCGATTAGTCAGGGCCTCAAGTGCAGCCTAATTTTTTAGCCGAATTCACACATGTAAATCGTAACGTGACTATACCTGGGTGGGACTGTCAGCGTCGTGAGTGCGATCGTGACTGAGACATTCTACTGCGAGATTCTTCCCAACCCAGTCACTTTCACCCATACCGTTTTGACTCAAATGTCCGCCCCTGAAGAAAAGTAAGGTTGGGTTAGAAGGATCGCTACCGGCGCTGTCGCATCCGGTGTGTTCGCTTACGTTCATCATTCAACGGCGCGATATTTCCTGGCTCGATGACCAAGCGAAACCTCGCTGAGATTAAGGAACGAAGCTGATTTGGACCGTGTTACGGTTGTCGGTGTAAGACCATGTAATCGACAAAATCGGCCAGACGAAAGAACCGTCCACCAGACGGTTTTGCCTCTCAGTTTTCGCACTTTTTCGATAACGACATATCGACTGTACCGATTTTCCCTGCATATTTGGGGCAATCAGTTTCGTCAACAATCAGTATAATATGGATTTGGGAGGCGGACGGTTTAGCCAGTTTTCAAACTAGAGCGAACGGTGAACGATTTTTTTCGTGTGGATGGTTTTGCCGGTCACACCTGTACTCACCAACGGCTCAGGAATGAATAGTAGTAGGGACTGCAGGCAAATAAACACTTTTGTCGCTTACGCAGCAGCGCCATGAGAGCAGTCTTAAAAACAGGGCTAACAATCCCTTTGGTTTTTAGAGAGTGTCTCCAGTAAGTTTCTGGAGAGGCTCTGTAGGCTGTTCCAGGCGCTCCGCTGTTGTGCATTGTCAGTCAACAATGTTTCTATTTTAAACACCATTTCACATTATTTTTTTAATTTTCTATTGCGTAGTTCATTCCGCAATGGGTTTTCTCAATGATCCTTGCCAAATTCGTTGGTTACTTTTCTTTAGAAAACGCTTTCCTGTAGACCGATACGGGAAAATTCGTGTGGTGGATTTTTCGTTCGCGAAGCCATAGCACAAGCGCTTCCAACACAAAAAAAAAATAAAGTGCTGTCCTTTTCAACTGACAGCATTATAACACTGGAAACATTAAACACTTATGCGTAGCTTTTTATGACGGGTTTATCCCAAGTCTGCCGTGCGAATGAAATTTATTATGCAATTTTTTTTCGTTTTTCCGTGGCACTGTAAAATTACACGGCGAGCCAATGTCCGTGTTTTTAATAATAATTTTTTTGGTAATAATTCAGATGGCATACAAACCGGCAGCGAAACTGTACAAAGCAGCCAAATCGAAGAAAATTAAATTAACCCAAACACACCAAAAATTCAACCAATCAAAAAACAATCAAATGTCCGAACACCTGAGTGCAACAATCAAAACGGGAAAAAATGAAAATTCATTGGCGACTGTGGCGCAACAAAACGACTTGCACAACGGGGATGAAAATCACACAGGCGAAGTGCTGCACGAGGCGAAAGGGATGAACGGATGTGCCGCCGCATCACTTTTTCTTCTTCTTGTGCTTTTTGTCGTGAGCCGGGGCGGTATTGCCGTTGGCGGCGTCCGACTCCGACTTGCCGCTGGGCGTCCGGCTGGCCTTGGCCGCCAGGATGGCTTTGGTCCGCGACTCCTTCTGCTTCTTCTCTTTGGCTTCTTTCTGCATCTACACAAAGCCGCAAGATTTCTTTTACTTTGTTGGTCATTTATTTATTCATTTTTTATTTTATTTCATTTTATTTTGCTTTATTTTATTTTCCTTTATTTATTTTGTTTTATTTTATTTGTTTATTTATTTGTTTTACAAGTTATTTATTTTACACAACTTATTTACTTTACAAGATTGGACAGCCGGATCACGCACTATCAGGCCAGACAAATATGGACGCAATCAAAAATTAAAAACAATTATAAACTGGAGAATGGTTCGGTCAGGTGATGAACGTAATTGTAAAAGAAAATTCTATATATTTTAGCCAACTGGTAAATATGTGTCAGTGTATCGTACAAGATAAATTCTACCAACGGCACACAATATATTTTAAGTTAAACAAAAGGCTGCCATTATGAATTAAATTTTTAAAAATTAAATTTCAATGCGCTGTACGCGAACGGGTTTGATTCACTTACTGTATAATTTATAATTTTTCTTAACTTTATTTCTTTGCAGGTTTACAATTTTACCGAACGTTATTTGTGGAGCATCGGCAAAATTAAGCAGCACCAGAGTAAAAAAACGACCGAAACTAATAATTAATTATTAACCGCACGTGCCAAAACATCAACACAACACCAGAATTCTGCCAAATATTAATTCAACAAAATGTTACCGAATTTCTAAGCCTTCAATAATAACATCTGCCATAAACATGTAAAAAAAACGTCAGCCATTAAAAGAAGCTTCCGCGGAGTTAGCATATCTTAATGTCATCAATATGTAAATCATATTCAGAATGTAGATGAATTCGCTATCGATAAAAAAAAATCGATACATACATGTACTCGTAAATTACCACCTTCTCACCGGTAAATTGTTATCGATCAATTATTTATCGAATGCAAAATATGCACGTGAGAAATCTAAACTTCAACATACACAAAACGCTGTAAAAATCTTCCAATTTCCCCAACGCCAGGTTTTCACAGGTTATTTTCTTACTAGTACATAGTGTTGGAACACTTCATGAGCGGGAAATTTTCAAACGTGCTTTATTTTGATACAAATGAAAGCTAAAACGAATGAAAACAATCTCGGTGAAAGCAGCACGTGCAAATTGTATAAAAGACGCTGGCTTACCTCTTTGGACAATTTCCAGGAAAGGAAGGCACTAACCAGGAGGAATGGCGACAGGATGAGGATCACATAATATCTGCACGGCAAATAATACCAGTAAAAATAAAAGATTAGAACGGATCTTTTAATTAAATTATAAATAAAAGGCATTCTTCTAATTTCCCTGAAAACTGTAAGCAATAAATAAATAAAAATCGACGGCATTTCTCACGACGGCAAAAACCATTAAATAAATAAAAATACGAAACAAAAAATTGCTTTACAAAAACCTGTGCTTCAATTTCAACGGAAAAGCGCAAAGAAATAAAAATAAATCAGCATTATAAATAAGAAATTTTTCACGGCGGAAAAGTGAAAACATTAAAATAAATGAAACTTGGGTCAAGAAAAAAACGACAAGGTAAGTTCCCTGTACATCGCAGGCAGTAATAACATGACGAATAATATCAATAAAAATTAAAACACGACTGAAAAAATCAAAGAAAAATGTCGTCCTACAATTTCTTGTTAAATACGTACGCGAAAATACATAAAAAATTCCTCATGGAGAAAATGTCAGTTAAGTACAGTTAGAAAGAAGCAACCTAATCTCCAACACCGGGAGCCACCCCTGGCTCGCGGGGAGAGGTACCAGGGTACCCCCCTTGTACTCACATGAAGGTGGTGGGGTTCTTCTCGATCCAGCGCAGCCATTCGGCGATCTTCTCCTGCGGAATGTACTGGAAAATACTGTTCAAGTCCAACGCCATCCTGTCGGGACGAAAGCAGTCCGGAGGTCCGCGGGTGTCAGCACAACGACGGGATGCAACGGGTTCCTCGATGACTAGCGAAAGTAGCTGCTACTGCGCCCCTATCACACGTGCTGCCAACGGAATGCAGTACACAAAAGGGACTGACAGAGTGAGGATGGCTGCGCAGGGCTCCGGGGCGTTTGGATCGATTTCTCTCCGTTACACACAAGACGAACAGTGAATGCGGCTGATCGATGCAGCCAGTGGGATACAGTATGCTGGTGTGCCTGATTAAAGCGATCGCTGGGCGATCATGTCGTTGTCCCTTTTGACGCGTGGATCGCGGGGGCAGATTTAATCAGCTGATCCTTCAGTGCGTCCACATTTTCGGGGAAATTATATTTTCACTCACTGGAGAATTTTAAATACGATGGCGATGCGGTAGAAATGGAAAGGAAAGAGCAGACGAAAGGAAAGCGAAAATCAAAATTTGCTGTGTTTGATAAACCTGTTTGTGCATGAATTCCGGTGGCGTGGGGAGCCGAGCGTATGTACAGTATATTCATTAAATTCCGATCGGCAATAAATTAAATTTCATTCTTTAATTTTAATTAATTTCTGTTAATAAAAATAATTATTAGAGAAAGGAAATTTCATTCCTTCAAGTAAGTAATTTAGAGATTACTAGCAGCACAGCTTTATTGTCCAAATTTACTTTGTTGTAGATGTAAATTATATATTTTCTTATTTTTTATGATTTATCGTGTATGATTTATCGTTTTTTATGATTTTTTATGATTTTTATGATTTAAATAAAAACTCTAATTTGCGATTTCATGGTCTGCACTAGTCGCAATAGCGACCGCCTTCGTGTGCCTGTAATACCGCGAGTGTCAGCGCTTATTTCACACAAAATAATTCGGCTGGCTTTTTTCACTTTTATTTAAATTAATCTAACTCCAAGATCAACGACAACAATTGTACAAAATAACACAAATAATACGCCTTAAATTAATCCATTTGATTCCCGATAAAAAACCATTTAAAACACTTATTAAATGATTTAAATCCACAAGCCGTTATTTGCCTTTGAGCAGTTCGGCCAGCAGTTTCAGATTCACCGTCCGGCGGGCGTCGACAAACCGCAGCGGACGAAGCGGCGGTGCCGTGGACAGCATCTCACGGGCGCGTAAGAACGCCAACGCCATGGACAGCGCCGTGGCCTCCTTGTCCTGCATTTCCTTGATCACGTCCAGGGGTCCCACCGGCATCCCGGGGGATTTGACGGCGTTGAACAGCGCGGCGGTGGTGTCGGCTGGGATGACCTCCGAGGCGCTAGCGGTCAACGGACCGCCCGCGGGAGCCGACAGGGCACTTTCGGCGGGAGAGGACAGGGAACCACCGCCAGGAGAGGTCAGGGGACCGCCCACGGGAGCCGACAGGGAGCCTCCGGCTGGAGCGGACAGGTGACCGCTGACGGGAACCGGAAGGGAACCTCCCAGGGGAGCAGACAGGGAGCCGATGAAGGGAGCACCGAGAGCGGGCATGGGGCCGAATCCTGGAGAAGCGGTGGCGCTTAGGGAACCACCTACTGCGGCGGCCGGCGCGATGGTGGCGTCCGACGCCGGGGGTGCAGAGAAGTTGGCCATGTTCCAGCTGCGCAGACGGTTCTCCAAGGCGGCACTGGTGGCGGGAAGTTGGACGAGGAAGGGATCTGCGGGGCGGATGGGCGGGTCGCTAGGAACGGGGACAGTGACGGTCGAGGGCAACGGGGGCGTAGTGTCCGAAATGTCGGTGAGTTGTTTCGTAGTTGTGGGACCGACCGCTAATAAGTTATATTTATAAACCGGTGTTGTTTACAGTTAAGAAGTAATGAGTATTAAGTAATTATAAAGATTTATTACTGACAAATAGATAGCAGTTATTGTTAAAAAAAATTAGTTTTCACGGGCTAAATATGTACGGTGTTACGTAAGTTTCTAGCTTGATAATCAAATCGATAAACAGCAGCTTTACAAAAAATACATATATTTTTAAAAGTACGAAAATACAAAATAATATAGAACAACTGAATTAAAACGTAAATAAATTTTCATAATATAAAATGAACTTAAAAATAAATAAAATAAGTAACGAAAACAATTTGGCGAACGAAGGAGTCGCCACTTAACAAACTGATTCTCAATGGCGGGCTACTTTCTCACAGGAACACCTTGCAATTGATGACTTAAGTCGCCCATAGACTACGATTATCATATTCGTACTCGTACTTACTTCATTACTTGTGAGTCTAAATTATTGTAAAATTAATTTTTACTGAACGACTGAGCAACAAAGAATTATTTAATTAGTTGAACGATGAACTTACTAATTAACCTAGGTTATTATTTCGTGCAATATTTTAAATGCGATATCTTGAAAAATATTTTCTGGAATTTTGGTTGTAGCACGCAGTACGCACCAATAACACCGACAAGATCCATAGGCAGAGGATCAATAGGAGCTAAAGGGGCCAGCTCCTGGACGACCTCCGGCTTCTGCGGGTGCGCCACCGGCGTCGGCGCCTCCGCCTGCAGCGTCTGCATGGCGGTGGGGAACTTCCACAGACTGGCACGGGTCGGGTCGACGGCCATCGCGGTGGGCGGGGCCGGGGGCTCCGGATTGCCCAGCTGGTAGAGCACCCCGCTGGTCTCGGGCCCGGACGCCGGTGGTGGTCGCGCCGGTTCGATCGGATGGCCGGGATGCGGGGCCGCGGCCGTGGCCTGGGCGGCGGCGGTGGGGACCGGCGGGACCGGCTGGTCGGTGGTGTCGGATTTGGTGTGAACGTGCTGGTCGCGTGCTAATTCCGCACATGAGCCTACACACAGGGGAGATTTATTGTGCCGGGTGTAGGGTTGCCGAGTATGTGCCGGTAATAGTGAGCCGGTGACAATGAATACACTATACGCGGCATACGTGACACCTACTCTTGTCAATGCTCTCGCAGCTGACGGTCTTTTCGTTGAAGTATCTGTAAAAATATGTGCTGGCGGTTATAACATCGTACCGGTACTTTTACAGTACAATAATGCGGGTATTTTTAGGTTATTCATGCGTCAAGGAAGTCTTCTACGTACCGTCCTGAAGGGCAAGAAAATTCTGCACGGTCTCCAAATGGCGAGCAAAAATAGTAACCTATAGCGTCAACAGAAACTTATAGTCAAACCATTAATGTTTTAGCATCTGCTTAAAATTTATTCATTAATTTTTCTGCGAAATAATTTTGATATAAAGTTAATATATCATTATTTTTATACTTAGGCACCTACTTGCAAATAAAATTATTAAAGTTCGAGCCACATTTTTGGTGACCTTATTTTTTTAATAAACATAACATGGGGCTTTATTACATTTTTCTCGTTTTATCCATTTGTTTAAGGTCAGACACTGTTTGTAATTTTTATAATTTCTTTGTTAGCTACCTAAGTTTTAAACCATACTTCGATAGGATTAAATCGTACCTCTGCAAAACAACGATACATCCGCGAAAAATCCCTTTTCTCCCGGCTTACACGTAATGGACACCACATCTTTGCTCAACGCCGCAGCCGGCGCTGTCGTCACTTTACCGGCCAGATTAATTCCAGTATCGCCAGGTGCGTCAATCGATCGCAGGGGCGCCGCATCATTCAACACGGTGTACGACGGTTCGAACTGCTGCATTTGCGGCGCCGGTGCCGGTCGCATCATCTCCTGCCCATGATTGACCGATGGTTGAGCGTAGACTGCCGGCGACGGCTGCTGCGGCTGTTGCTGTTGGTCCAGTCCGAGTTGAGCGTTGAGGAGAGACAGGACGTTCATGGCGTTCAGATGCTGTTGAGACGGTTGCTGGGGTAAGGCTTGATGTGCCTGATGCTGTTGTGGTTGAAGTTGCTGGTGTTGTTGCGACTGGAGGCGCTGGATGTCCAGCAGGCTGTTGGGTGTGGCGAAGCGGCGCTGCGGGATCTGGGCTTGCGGCACAGGAAGAACGTTGTCCCCTTGTGGATCCATTTTATACCTAGAGAGAAAAATGTATCAATATAACCGTCTTAATGCCCGATTTAAATCGCAACCGCCAGAAAAAAACTGCACAACTAGAATTTATTACGCGCATCCTTTTGCTTTCTTGGTTATTTGGCTTCTTGACTGTATGTTCAATGCCTGACTGACCAGTGCTAAAAAATTATACAGACAAATCCTTAAGGTCGAAGAATGAAGAGTCTCAACAGATCGCAGTAGAGTGGCTGTTTTGATTGACTGGTCCATTGATTGTTTATTGAGTAGCCAAGCCCGTAAATGGGTACAATTATCATTTACCGTTCTACTGGCTTAGAACAGGCAGTAATTAATTTTCTTTTAAGTAGCTTATGTTTATGGAAATTATTGTTCATTAAATTTTACCCGTCTTATACGGTAGTCTCAGCCGAATGCATAAGAATAATTCATAATATGCGCAATTTTCTTATAAGTATTCCTGATGCCTGACTGATATTCGTATGACAGACCACCGACTACCGTAGTGCTCCTAATATTACGCAGACAACTCTTTGCGGTCGAAGGATGAGTCTCACCCAATCACACCAAGGCGGCTGATCTGTTGACTTGCAGCCAGCAGTACTTAATTTTTTATTAAGTTATGTTTATTTTTATGAAAACTAATATTCAACGAGGGTTTCGTATTTTTTACCATATTTGATTGATATCCGCGGCCTGAACCGGCGCCGTAGCCGTATTAACTTGCGCCCCATAATGCGGTATGAATCCGGCGCGTAGCGGCGCACTATAAGGCCCGGCCGTTAGCGGACGCATCTGCACCGCGCCGTTTGATCCCGTCGGCGTCTGCGGCCCGATAACCGCCGGTGGCGGCGGTTGCGGTGGTGGAGGCTGCGCATGCAGCAAGGGATTCGGATCCGCCGGACTGGCCCGGGATCCCGGGAACGGCCGATTCTGCTCGAAGAACGACGGGCTCGGCGCCGGACCCGGGTATTGGTTATTCCACTGCTGTGACGCCTGGGCATGGTGGGTGTTGAACTGCGCCTGTCCCGTCGGCGGTTGCGGCTGGGTTAGTGGTGCGTTGAAGCTCAACGGACTGGAAACGAAGGGGTTGTTGGGTGCAGGTGCCGGTGGGGATGAAGGCATCGGTGGACCCAGTGCCGGATTGGGATGGGACGGTGGGGAAGCGGGGCTGGGGGCGGAGTTGGCGGCAGCTGCGGCGGCGGCGGCTAACCAAAAATCGGGAATATCCGGACAATCTGTAGATTTTAAAAAGATTCAGTCGCGCACGTTTATAAGAAATCCAAGAAACCGAAGCATTTTAAGGAACTGGCGCATTGTTACCGACGGTTCCCGGATCCATGCACATCTGCCGTTCTTCGCTGAATTGCAACGGCGGGATGCATGTTCGCCTATTGGGAAAAACAAATCCAGTAAATTTTACTGAAAATTGTTGTAGTTGTTTTTTCGTTATAGAACACGCTGGTGTAAAAATAAGTGTGTCGATTGTATATTAATTGTCACACAATGTCCTTGTAAAATCCGTTAGTCAATGTCATGAAGTTTCTTATTTGCGGAAAAACGGTTTACCTGACATGAGTTCCATTGGCCATACAGTGGTAATAGTGACTGCCTAGATACGAACGGATCATTAGCTCTTGACAGCCGATATGGAAACCTGTCAAGATGCCAAAGCATGCGACCTTACAGGAGAACGGATCTTCGAAGAATCCCACGCGACCGAAACATGGCGCCTTGAACATTGTCCGTAGCGCATCGGTATTAAGCTGCCGTCGCACCTACGGAAAAACCATTCACCGCGATATCTTACAACTAAGTAGTGTTTAAACCAAATGCTTTATAACTGAACATAAGAAATGGTATAAACCGATCCAAAACCGTTTCTATATTTCCGAACTTGTAAAACTAAGAAAAATTAACGAGGAACCGTTTTGTGTGGGCCTGTAATCTTAATTTTCATTATGGACTTATAGTAATAAAACTATGGAGTGGTGATAAAGATTTTTAAACAGCGGTTCACTCCATACGTGTAAACAGTATAATTGCAAAGTAAACAACGAATCTTCAAAGCAAACATCACCGGCGACCGCTTCGTAGTATTATTCGGTGTAAGCGCCACTTGATCTTAAAGTGTTGTAACAACTACAAGATGTTTCTCACCCTTGAGTGCGGCCAGTCCTGGTACTGCGATTCCAGTAGCGACTGCACATGGCGTAATCCACAGACATTCTTCACGCATAATACTTCCAATACAACAATAACTGCAATTATCACAAAATCAGGCTGTTACTAATTACTAAATAAGTAAGTATCCAGTAAAATACTGCTGATTAATACCAATGATAAATAATACTCCAATACTGCCCAGCCCGCTGCTTTTGCGTCCCGGTGGCGCCATTGCAAGGCACACAGAGATTATCATCCAGGGAAACCGGTGCTACGGACAACCATAACAGGATCCCGTGCGCGTTTATGTCAAGCGCATCACATCAACACAAAGTGGCATGCACGACAGGAATGGCTGTATGCTGCATGATGGACTTGACTTAGATGCGAAAATAAATAGCACACTGCTGGCCGCTTCCTTATAATGCAATCAACCACGTTGGGTAATGCCGACTGCCCATTGTCAGCCGTCCATTCAACAAGGTGCCGGTGTGATTGTACTGATTGTACGAGTGTGACTGTGTGAGGTTAGGCTATGAACCTAGGCCTACGTGGACATCAACACCCGGCCATCATTCTACACAGCTTAGTACACAGTACATCCAACGCGAAACAATGAAACAATGAGCTGTATACGGTCGCTCTGACCAATGAGAAAATTTCTATTAACGTATTCGGTTACAAATTACATTTTCAACCTGTACTTAATCACTTTAATGCATACGAGTATACCGCAACAGCAAGCATCAAAATTTTGATAACCATAATATTATTACACAGTAATTAAACGCCCGAAATCGCTTTTAGACACGACTTCATAGGCTCGTCTCATAAAAAATACGACGGAGCAAATAGCCGTTACTGAACACTGCAGTCTTTACAAATTAGTTTTGTCTCTTATCGATTTTAATTACCAATATTGTAGCAGATATTAATAATTTTGAGTCTTTCGAATATTTTTATACGACTTTTTGTTTCTGATTGGCGCATCGATATTCACCTGTCATGTTACGAATAAACATTGCTACATGTAAATAACCCGTCGGCGTAATCAATCTGATTGCTACAACGATTAACGCCGCTTTATAGGTCAACACAGTCGGCCTATACTATGACGAGCGGCGCTGAATGTGCTGGGTCAGTTGATCCGCGGCTGCGCGTGAGCGTCCGTCGGTATGACGGTATCTACCGGCACACACCGGCGGCGGTGTGCCGACGGGCAACCGTTAGCCTTGACCGCAGCGCCGACGCATACCTGTCAACCGGACGTTTAACTGTCCGAACTGCCCATCTCCCAGTGATGCCGCGGGTAAGCCGACACCGGCGACGGATATACGATAGTCGGTACCCGTCGGCTAATGCCGAAAAACACCGGCAGTAACGAGGATAATATGGTGTGAAGTCGCCTGCACAATAATTAAACACATTAACCGGCGCTATGTGCAGTATGTATGTACAGCAATGCCAACGGTCGACTGTGTTAAATTATTTCCATAACTGCCAGTGCCGGTTACAAGTAGTTAATGATTTCCTAAATCTGATACACTAAAATTACGAACAATCGTAATAGAATTATTCTGTACAACACTGCCATTCTACTCTGTACTCAGCTAACAGGAACCGTCGCTGCTGTAGAAGTACTGCACGAGCGTCAATTCAAAATGAATTTGTTAAACAACGACAACGTTATCAAAATCCTTCACGATGAACTGCCGCGATAGCAGCGGTATATGAATCAGATTCGTAGGAAGCACGTTTATATATGCGCAACTGGCAGTTCTTAATAAAAAGCCCACGAGCCGTGGACGGCGTCCACGGCTTATTATCTGAGCGTCCACTGGACGCCCAGATATTGTACAACTCAATGATATTATATAATCGCGTTCTACTTTGCAAAAAGTTATCATGGCAAAAAACGTTACGGGATAAAGTTCACCATTGTGTTTCTGTGCGCTGTTCCTTTTAAACAGCTTTTCCATTGTGCAAGAACGCCCTGCAAATGCTATCACGCTGTTTTTCTTTGTCCGTTGGCCGAGTAACGAAAGTTCCCTTGTTAAAACGTTACCGCCATTGCCACCACTGCATAACTCATGTCCATGCATTCTAGTGACCCAACGCGGTTGATCAGAATGTCAGTTTGGTTTTTACCGACCAGCACACTGCGCGATTGCTTTTCTAAGATTCAAGAGGATTGTTAATTTTAATCCTATAGCCTGCGGTGTGACGCAAACATGATGACTGTGACCATTTTACATAAGGCCGTGTTGCTTCTTCTGGTAAGCCAACTGACACTGTAATGTGCTAAAGATAACTGAGATGCTCAAGTGCATTGATTAAGAATAAATGACCAGCTGGTCATTTAATCACAGCATTTGAATGTAAATGTTTTGCATTCTATTCTACATCATCACAGTATTTCGCTTCACTAAGTAATTATTGATTAACCCAACGCGATAAAGTGCGGCTGCATTATTTTAACGATAAAATTAATGAGGTACGAAACTGAACCATTTGTTCCGTAAAGTCCTTATGTAAAGACTTTACTGTAGCCGCTTGATGAAATGGCACCACTTTTAGATCCGGCTGCTGCCAGCCCCCCTGCCGGACAGCGCACACGTAACAGCAGCGTGTGCGCTGTTTTCGGTGCATCAGACTCTGTGGTGCCATTTCATCTAACGGCTACAGTATATTTTGCAACGGTTCACAAAATCATTACAAGCTACGCTCTGCCTGTACTGTCATGGTATAGTTTCAGGCCGTATACAAGCTCTGCAGCCTAGGATATGCGATTTGTCGAAATTGCAAGGATAATTACTCCTTGCAGAGTCATACTTCATTATTTACTCTACCATTCACGCGTTTGGAAAATAACATTTTCTTGACTGTAAACAGACGTATGTACTAAACTGCATTGATTTTTATGTATTCATCCAGAAACTGTTGCCCAGTAGAGTAAACTGCATTGATTTTTATGTATTCATACAGAAACTGTTGCCCATTCGTGGCGCTTCTGAAAATCACCAATAATCACAGAATTATTTTTTAGAGCACGGTGATGGCGGAAGCGTACCGTAGCGACCCGTATGCGTACTACATCGAACCGAGTCTGCAGCTGGGCGGAGCTCGTCCAGTTCCCGCTTACAACCCGAGCCAGCAGCTCGTTCGCAATCCGCCAAAGATTCCCCAACATGTGCCTAACATTCTGCCGTACGATGACAGCCCCGGCGCCGGTTACGGTCCAGTTCGCTGGAAAGGGCAGCATGAAGGCGTCTCCGGATCCAGCACCATCCGTCCCACACCCACACCGTCAAGCGTCTGCCGCGTCAGCACGCTTATCTCCACCCGCACCATCCGTACGTGTTCGATGAAAAGCAGCACCGCCATTCCCATTCCCTGCATTACTGCAACGGTCACTGCGACTACCACATACACTGCCGCTTATTGCGCTCTTAATATGGTGACCGTGTACGAGGCGGTATCTACCGAAGGTAATGCCGCTATATCCACATTTACGCCGTCCCCGCTGCCCCTATGTCAAGCATTGCCTCCTGTTACCGTCACAGCCAGTACATCAGCAAGTTCTCCGTCTTACAGTATAGCTGTTACGGCAGTTAGCACGAAGATAGTAGGCTGCACCGTAACCGTAAAGTCCACCATCTACGGGACGGGTGTAACTACCAACATTCAGGAGAGTCCCATTTATTCAAGCGGGGTTAACGAAAAAGTAGTTATTCAGGTGCAGAGTTTTGGTTGTTCGTAATGATCCCGGCGTATCATGTTTGCAGAATGATGGTCAGCCCACTGCTGAGGGCAATACAGACCTGCTAATATTCCTACTAGTTTGTGTTATCCATTGTACTGCTTAGTTCTAAGGAGAAACATGTGATAAACAGCTTGCAACAAGGGTTCGCTCACGATTACCTTTTTGATATGCGTTATGTATTGCTTAATAATAGCGTAGTAAATGCTTTGAAGAAAATTTGCATGGTGCACTGCTGTACGAGAATAAACTAGTCTGGTGCATCACCGTATGACCACATAAAGAAGAACTAAAAGGGTTGTTTTTAGTCGAAAAAGTTTTGCCTAATAAGAATGTTACATATGGATGGCATGAACAAAACTTTCGTTCTAATCAATAAATTCTACCAGAAGTACAGATATTGATTCTAATCCGCTTTTATTCTATCTGTCATTCGCACTAGTAACACTAACCTTTGCAACAACCACAACTACGAGCGCGCCTTTGTTTACCGGCGACCTTTGATTTTCCGAAATTTCTGATATAAAGTTAACTGATGATGCACAAAGCCGGCCAGAGCCTAAAATCTTCAAAATCTATGTGAGCACACTTCATTTCGCAAAGAGGGGGTATTGATTATTTGCTTTGATTTTCGTACTGGCTGACATTGTCATGACTCAGGAGATTGCACGCGTTGGCAAATTTACAGAATATTTTATGGGAGTGCCTATCCAGTAAAATTGGCATTTAATACAAAAAACATGAGTTCTGAGATAACTGAAGTTGTTAGTTTTTTTGTGCAGCAGTTTTGTAAATACGACGGCGAATGTTTTGTCTTTTTTCGCTTATTTCTTGAGTCCGAATTGAGGCCTCGCGCGAAGCGCGAAGCCGACGTTGCTTTTTGACCAGAAAGCACAAGAAAATCAATTAAATTAAGTTATTTATTCAAAACTATTTCGGGTTTGTCAAATTTGTTAAACACTCGTATATAAAACTAGCGAAGCGTTTTGTATTGTGATTCGTTTTGCCCCGAGCTCTTAGCATGGCAGGGGCTGCATTGATGACCTTACGGCTGACATTCAGCAACGGTGTCAGTATCGCCGGTATTATTTTTATTTCATAAACGCGCATACATTACAGATTGAAAAGAAACAGTAATCACAACAACAAAATTTCATTTAAAGCTGCCGCTCCATCCACTGTTCCGAGTACTGAAGCGGCGTTGCCCCGCTGAATTTCTAGTGACAACCGTTGACGGAGAAATTCATGGGAGCGAGGTTCACCCGTGTGTAGTTGAAGTCGTTTGCCGATTTCTTTTGCTAAGAGTATGGCTAGCTTCCCCCATGGCCCAAGAGTTTCGAAACCTAGTGGAGAGAAGACATATCTACCCTACAAATACGAGTACAGTCGTAATTTTTTATCTTCGGCCTCCGCAGCAGCAGCTCCTGCGGTACTGACGTAGATTGCAGGTAAGACATCGCAACGGTATCCACGCACGTCGCGTCCCACGCCAAGCACATACCACGCTTCCAGGCAAAGGTTGTGCACCCATCCGGACGGCGATCGGACGTGTGGGATGTACCCCGGGGTTCCAGCTTAGCCGGGATGCCGGCTGACACTAACGATCTACACACAATACTGTTCAAACCGCCGTGGCGTGCGTGTCTTCCAGCGGAAAAGGAGCAGGATAAGCCGTGGTGTCCATACTCATCTACGGACTTGTGACACTTCGCACATGAATGCGGCTCGCAAATCTTTACGCCCAGTCTCAGACCCACTGAAATCTTTACTGTGTCATCGTCAAGGAGGTTACCGATGTGTGCAGAGGGCAAGGCATTTAACCAAAGGCCTGCTTCCGGTGTTGATTGAGCCAATAAGCGAGCACGGTTGACCTTATCGTCGCGAAAAATGTCCAGCATAACTGATAAAGACACATTACACAGCGGAAGGTCCCATGTCCGTTGTGCTTTGCGAAAAGTTGGTTCGGGAAGATCTGAGAGACGTGTCAGTATTGGACCGGGGGAACTGGTATTTGATAAAGATGAAGTAAACTAAGATAACCACGAGCTGAATCGCTAAGATATTCTAATGGTCGACCAAAATCACAAGTTCTACGAGTAGTTGCTGTAAAAATATCGACCTGTAGAGAGATATATGCGCCAAATACCCACCAAGTTTAAACGTTTTCAATTACTGGGAGATTTGCCAGTAGACACTGGGAAAGTTTTTAAGTAACCACACTTCTGCCGCTACATAACTCAAATGCACAATAGCGCATTGCAGCATTTGTTGAACTTAGTAATAATGCTGTTTCACAGGGTAAATCCAAAAGCGGAAATGAGAAAAAGGTATATCAGCAATTTCGAAAAAAGTATTCATAAATGTGACTATTGTTTCCATTACGCAGATGGCATTCCCTATTTAACTCTATCGGTAAATGGACAACTGTTGCTGGTACAGCCACTAAAATACCGCATGTCTACCCGAAATGGTCGTTCTCTCAAATAACCACCAGATCATCCCGTGAAAGTTGAAGCACACAATGCTTGTACATCAAATGACACAAATTCACACAATCATAATTTTTCACCTGATTCTGCCAACTGGAGGTCAAATAAGAGAACGTAGCTGTTTCTTTGAGTTCGCTGATTAAAGATTGATTTTCAGTATTATACGACCCTATGCACTCTACTAACTGCGCACGAAAGACATTTATACAAATTTTATAAACAGCGCGCGTGATTCTACTACGTGCAACAAGAGCACTATTGACTTGTGGGCATGTAAGTTATGCAACATCAGAAGTGTGGTTAGTAAGTATAAAACATGCCGTCTGCCACATCTCCCAGTGAAAGTTAACGTGACACGCATTGGCTTATAGCTTTTACTTGTTTGTTCGTGAAAGTTTCTGCTCTCTTAAAACAATTAAAAACAGTTAGAAGCCGGTTAATTACACAGAAGGGGGGAGTATTGACAATTTTTAAGCACTAATTGAGATCTAGGTGAGCACATGCACCTTTATGTGAGCACATTTTGTGCTATGTGAGCACAAGTTTTTAGGCCCTGCAAAGCCCGTTTCATTTAGTTTGTCTCGAATTGTTGTCAACATCACCAGCAGCAGAATTTGTTCAATATATTATTATTTATTTTTCACTTTCATCAAATATCGCTGACAGTAACTGCGTTATATTGAAAGGTTTATATTTCAATGCCCAAACTTAACACTGCTAGCTGTTAAGAACCGTCGGACGGTAGTCTGTGGGATATTTCCGGAGAAATAATCATATTTCTTTTCACCAAGTCCTCCATAATAACAGCTACCAAGCGGCGATTCTGAAGTCATTTTAAGGTTTTCTGACAATCTGATCGTTTCTGAAAACTAGTAATGGATGGCCAGCCGCATTTTTTTCTCGTTTTTTCTAGTGACTGAAAGTGTGACATTCGGCACAAGTCGGTAGACTTACAAAATGGGTAAAACCACTTGGTTATCGTGTAAGTAAAACAACCTTTACACAATCAACTGAAACGAAACTTTTGAACGTAACAACCAGTTGAGCCGTTAAAACCGGTCTACATATAGGCGAAATGATTGTGTGAATTATACATATCAGCGCTGCACACACGGTTGTAAAGTCACTGTTCTGAATTTTTATGAAAATCTATTATGTAATGTAGAACTGAAAAACGTAAAAAGTAAATGGTGTGGTGTTCAGTGGAGAATGGTCGGTTTGTACGAGTACAATAATTATTATTACGTACAGAACATGAACTGGTACTGGTTCTGAGGCTGCGATTGATGTCTACCGGTTAACTTGACTAGCGCCGCTTGAATTTGCTTACGAGTACAACGGTCGCCTTAACCATTCTATCCTTGATCGAACTCTCGAGATAATATCAGCGTTTTCACTGTTTTGGGACAATGTTATTTGACTTACTGTACAGTAACCAAGTGTACGCAAAATTGCGGCTTCCTAGCCATCAGCAGGCGCTGTTTGTTGAATCACTCACTTGAATGCAACAACCACAAAATGGAGCACACGAAATAAAGTCCATCATTGTTCTTCGGTGCATCGCTCTTATTATGCGGCAGTTCATCCACTCAGCTAGCGCTGTTGTGCTGTACAGGGATGCGATCGAAACGCTCGACATTCGTGATCTACCGTACAAGCCAGCAAGAAAATTGCTGGGGAGCTCTTTAATCCGAACTCAAAAAACGGCTGTAATTTCGTGTTCAAACTACACGAGTGCTGTGCCCGGTATGCTGTAACGTGCCATTTTTTGGGTTTTCACTCTGCGGTTCTTACGCTGTGCATTCTGTCGCATCATGATATTTTTCGTGGATTCCGCGATTATGCTTCTCCTTGTGCTGGTGGTACGTTAGATGTACACTTTTACGATCGTGCTGTAGATATTAAACATACTTCGCTTACTGCCTTATATGGGCTCCCCTTACATTACTCTCCCTTATCTGGGCTCCCGGCTAGTGAGCAATACCCGTCAAATTATTTATCGGATTTATAGCAGAACCCTTTTCTACTTCTTTCAACCGGATTTACAAGTGAGCACACCAAAGAATTCCGAAATTTCACATCCGAATTATATTTATATAATTATATTATCTATATATATCTTTCATTAATTTCAACCGGATTTGCCAATGAACAAACTAAAAAATGCCGAAATTTCATATCACATCATTTTTTCATGGGGTTCTTAGTGCATTTAAGTGGGCGGCGTTTCTTCTCGTTTATTTCCTCCAAAGCGTCCAGGAAGGCTGATTCCGTGGCGATAGCTCCCTTCACAGTACACAATCTCGAGTCTTTTTCATATCGTCGCTTGACCGCTCTGCCGTCACAGAGTTTGTCTTTAAACTCCGTTGCAGCGCGTTTCGGCGACACCGTTGGAATGACACCGTCCAGTACTTGTTTAGATTTTTCGATAATCTGGTCGATTTGCCAGTCCGAAAACAGATGAATCTTGCGGTAACCGGCGCGGATCGACTCAAACTCTTTAGCGTATATTTCACTAGGCTTTATGGTGGGAAATGGCTCTACCGGAGAAACAAATCCAAGGAAATCTTTGCACACTACTGCGGGATCGTACGGGAAAATGCCAGCTTCACGAAATCCGGACTTAATATTAGTTGACATATTAAATTTCTCCCAATTTTCCATCAGTTCGCTGGCAAAATTCTGCTTTGTAATCTGCAACAATTAAACACAAAAATCATGTAGATATAAACGAAAAGATAATTTTATAGGTTAATGTACAATTCAAAATTTACCTCGTTCGCACTGGTGCTTAAGTTCCTCACGCGCAGCACATTTTTCCAGCAACGTTTTACCGGTCCAAATACTTTCAGATCGAGCGGCTGGGTCTTGCTGGTTTGGCCAGCTGGAAATGTTACAACCCGAATATTTTTCTCCGATTTGACGCATTTCAACAGAAATTCTTCGTTGTAAACGTGCGAACTATGACCGTCCAGCATTAGCAGGTTCTAAAAGAAATCAAAAATAAATAAACCGAATAATCACGATAGCATTTATTTAGTGAAAGTAATTGTAACGGAATTCAGTATTTTTAATAGATTTGTTTTTGTTTACCTTCGGAGCAGTCATTGCCGGTAGGACCTCCTTTTCAAAATACTCCAGGAAAACGTCGGTGTCCATTACCCCTGAGCGATTCACACCCAACCAGCATCGGTCTTTCGTTCCTTGATAACGCGATAACGTGTGCATTTTACCATCAAACAAAATGAGAGGGCGTAGGATAGTTCCCGCAGCACTGCCACCAGCCAGTACAGTGATCACCTCTTTATCGTTACCATCGTAATAAGACGTTACGTTTTTGGAGCCTTTCCGGGCATACACGAAATCAACGGTTTCTGCTGTAGAAAATCCACTTTCATCCAGATTCCAGATACCAGCCGGGTCGTCTAGCCATCCTTCTATATGTAGCTCGCTCAGCAATGTAACCCAGCCTTCACAGTTATCGGCTGTCCATTCTCTCGCCTTTTTCCTATTGACGCCATGTGCAATACGACGCGATAACTCGGGAAACCTCTCCAAAAACCCTTTCAACCATTTGTCACTGAATTTTGCTACCATACCTAAAACGAACGAAATTGTGAAATTGTGAAATTGCGAAATTTAGATTGTGAAATTTAAAACGAACAATGTTTTACGGATAACGTATTTTCAAGCAGTGATTAATTAATAATTGCACTTTACGATAAACTGTTTACCTTTTTCCGTAGCCATGCTGGTGACGAGTTTCTTCAGGCATGGTTTATTCAAAGGAACGCCAATGTCTGCACAGTGCAGCAGGAAGGTTGCAAGGTATTCTTTTTCTGCATCCGTAAACTTTTTCTTCCAGCTTCCGCGCTTCTGCTTTCCAATTCCTCGCAGTCTGTTGTACAGGGTTGCGCGGGGAACATTGTAGTGCTTGGCAGCAGAATTTAACGACGATATACCATCTTGCACGCACTTCACAGCAGACAAAATCGCTTCTTCACGGTCCATTTGACAAAGTCACAAATATATTTAGAAAGATTTTGAATCTGTCGTTGATGCAACCTGAGCACGTTCATACAAACTCAATGCTACAAAAGTACTGGCGAAATAAGTATTTTTAATAAATCTAAATTTTCATTCAGTCATAACACTGATAACAGCTGCAAAACTGTGAGTAATAACGTAACCGCCGATGTAGAGGGTTGCTCATATTGCTCGGGAGCCCATATAAGGGAGAGTAATATAAGGGGAGCCCATATAAGGCAGTAAGCGAAGTACTGATAGTCAAAGTCTAAGTCAAACAGAAAACACCTTCTTCAACACTACTGATATTTCCCGAAAGATTTAGATTCGAGAATTCTTCCGTATTAGTAAAAACCTTTGTGCGATGGTTAATCATAATTTAATACTGTAATGTAAGTATTCTTATAAGTATAATAAGTATAAGTATGTAAGTATAATGTAAGTATTCTTACGTAACGTTTAACATAATCATACTGTGGTTTTTACATAACGTGATACTGAACAATATTCTTACCTCGTTTTGCAAAATAATTATACATAAAGAGATACTAAAATAAAAGTATTCCGCGATTTTTAATTGTTAAAAGGAGAAGCCGAAATTAATTCTAAATTCTTCATACTCGGAACATTATTTACATAAAGACGGCATACTTCAGCTTGCATTTGCTTTCAGGGCGCGGCAGTGCTGGAGGCTTACCGCGGTGACTCAGACGCGTACTACATCCAGCCCAGCATGCAGTTCGCTAGTCCTCGCTCCGCTCCCGTCTACAGTCACCATCAGCAGCTCGTGCGAAATCCTCCAAAAGTTCCGCAGAACGTACCGCACATTCCTCCGTATGATGACAGTCCCGGAGCAGGAGACGGCCCAGTCCCCTGGAAAGGTCAGCACCAGCCATTCTCCGCACCCACCACGATATCTCCCAGCCCCACCATCGCATCGTCTGTCTGCCGTGCCAGCACGCTGGTCCTCACCGAAACTATCCAAAAATGGAAGACCAGCCAGTGTCCGGCGGTAAGCAGTGCTCCGTGCGTGTCGGCAACACTCACGCTGACCACCACCAAAACTGTCTCCTTTTGCGTCATACAGAAGCTTACGGTGTATGAGGCGTTCCCAGGCGAAGAAGGCTCAACTGCAGTGCTTTTTACGGAGTCTGTATATTACTCCTGCGAGGCAGCATCGAGCTTCCCAATCGTGACCAGCACTACAGCGGACTCTCCCTGCTACACGCTAGTCGTCGTTGCCACGAGTACCAGAGCAGTCTCTTGCCTATTTACCAACGATCTCACGATCTACGGGACTCACGTGACAACGGACAGTGAAGGAGATCCGAGTTATGCGCAGGGAGCCAGCATGCAACCTGTCTACAATGACCTTCGCTTCTTTTGTGTAGTGCTAATGGACTAAACCTGAGAGGGCAGACAGAGTGTGCAGAGAGTAACAGCATGGCCATGGCAGGGCATATACTATAGTACTGTACACGTACTGGCATGGTACTGTACATGTAGTTCACTGATTAAAAATCTGTGGAATAATACTTTTAAAAGTGTACATTCTGTCTGTGGAATAATATTTTTAAAATTGTACATTCTGTTTTGCCGGCAGAGAAATAGATAAGGAACTGAAATGTTGCATATGGTTTTGTAGCGGTAATTCATATCCTTGATAGCGTCTGTTTCGACTGTTGCATTAGTTGCATCAATATGACAGCGTCGAGTCTGCGGTTTCTTAAAATATAATAATATTGGCTGGAGCTGCAGTTCTTTAACGATTCACTCAGAGGCAGACAGTGCTACCATTTTCATAAAAAAAAAACAAATTGCATAATGATAGCACCATGCACAGTATGACTCGAGCACACACGCACCTGGCGCACCAGCGTAAGCATTCATAATCCGTCGGCAAATCGGACAAAAACTATTGTACTCAAAACTAAAATTAATCAAAAACCTCTGGTTCACACGATGCCAAAAAATTTCAAGCAGCAAATTATATAGAAACATATAATATTATTATTTGCGTCCGGCAGAAATCAAGTGAGATTAAGCTGTAAGTCGTTTTAATACGTGGTGATTGCGCAGTTTAATGCAAACCAGCACGTGCCTCACAATAAAACGCCATTTTACTGATCTTCGAGAAATCATCAGTAATTATCCGCGGCATTCACACTGGATGACTGGATAACCTCTTATTGTTTAAGGGAATACTGGGAACGAGCGCCTTACATGGAGACATGGACGCCCATTACGTTCGTCCAAGTCACCAACTGGATAACGGACGGCCCGATACGATCTACCGTTATCCGGGACAGCAACCCAAGAACCTGCTGAAAGTTCCGCAGTATGTTCCGCTCATTCCACCTTATGACGATAGCCCCGGTGCCGGATTGGGTCCGCTCCAGTGGAAAGGGCAACACGAACGGGTCTCCGTGGCGAACACCAGCACCATCTGCCCCAGTCGCACCATAACGCCGTCGGTGTGCAGTACCAGTACTTCCGTCTCCACCAAGTTTATCAGCCCGTGCTGGGAAACGTCCAGCACAGGCCCGTCCGCGGGTGATGGCAGCGACAAGATCTGTCCGTGCATCACGGCTTCGCTGACATTGACCGTGCCGTTTGTCAACCAGATCTGCATATCGGGACCCGTAACACTCTGTGAAGCGAACGCGCAGTCTACTTACAAAACATAACCTGGAGAATACTCATTAATTGTGCTAGTCGTGACCTGCCCGCGGAAGCGCCGGCTGTCCTCACTTCCGATAGCACTCCACGTTACACCGTGGTCGGCGGTGTCTACGGCTTTTCTCGAACAACACTGCACTGCGTCGGCGCAGTTAACAATATACGGAACGGATTTGTCCACCAATCCCGCCTACCCAGGTACGCTTTCCTCTCACGCAGGAATTTCAGCATTGCCCTCGTTTTCAACTATGGTCAGATTGATTGCAGTTTAAAGTGAGAAATGTGTCCAGATATCCTTTTTTGTCCATGTAGCAGCTCACTCAGTTCAGCGACTGCGTCTGTTGTTGTATTGTTCATGCGATTGTCTACGGCATTTGAATTTAAAATAATCAGACCTTTCCGGTCTTTCTGTTAATTTTGTTATTCTAGGACAATATAATACGTTCCTTGATTTCCACTTCTCTGCACGTTTTTCTCTAACGGCATTCTACGCCGCAAAATCGAAGTTATACTTGCGTATATCGATCGGTGTATCATCAATAACTTTCGTTTTTTGCAGCGATAAAGGTACAAGAACTATTGCAGCAATAAATTCGAGGTTATCTGCAGCAATAAATTTGAGTTACGTGATAAAGGTACAAGAATTACATATGAATTGTATGAATCTGCCGCAAGGGTGCCCACTGTTTGGTTAATCCCGGAAAATTTAAAATTCGTCAACAAAATCGGTAGTTGTCGCATGCCGTCAACAGCCGCATTATTATTCCACAGAGGATCATGATATTATTAATATTTTTATAAGAGTTTGATACAAGCAAAAACGTCAATGATAATGCAATAATATAAAAATGCCGAACATGATACATAATGAAATCGATGTTCCGAGATGGTTAAGCTGGTTAAGGTTTTCAATATCGAACGCTAAACTCAACGGACATTTGTGCACCATTGGCCAGATGCTTGGTCACCGTGGTCGGGATATAGTTGCCGGGTTCTTCCGGGATGTCGAAGTCGAAGAAGAAGTTGCCGATGAGATCGTCGCTGCTGACATCTTCATCGACCACGGCAATCAAGACGGTGGCGGTGCTGCCGCTCTGGGCGGGCTCAGTGAGACGGATGCTGGCGGGGAAGTTGACCTCGGCCACATCGTCACCGCCGTTATGTGTCTGGGATCGGGTTCTAGGAGTAAAAACCAGCTTTGACATGAAAGTTTTGACATTTCAAATGTCAAACTGAAATCATTCCGAAATCAGTAAGGCCTTTGCATGTTGAAATAATATGAAAAGGGAAAGCTTGTTTTCGAGAATTATGACTAAAGAGTACAACGGAGACAATAAAAAGTTGTTGAAAATAAAACGAGTACAAGTTTATCCTGATACCGACGTTTAAAACAAAATTAATCTGTAAATTAATGAGGAGTATTATTACTAGTACTACTGGATTGCTTAGGCTGAAGCGCAAGAAGCGTGCAAAAGATTCTCGACAGCTTTAAGTTAATATCCAAAAATTGTTTAGGTACTTGTTATATAACTTATAAGTAACCGAACGTCAGATCACTTACTGTGTCACGCCCGCGGTGTTGATCCAGCTGTAGGTGATGGTGAAACGCGGCTCGCATTTAGCGGCGATAATGGTAATCCAGGGATCGCAGTCACCGTCGTAGTAATAATGCATTACGCGGATATCCAACGTCGGATTGGAACGGACTGCCACCGCAGACCGCGCTCGGCTATTTTGCAGCTGAAGACGTCCATTCCGTCCCACACAGGTCACGAAAGGAACAACCAGGAGGCACACCACTAATAAAAAACAGCGTTATTAGAATCTACTGCTTTCTAAGATTTTTGATCGGCTCTTACCCAGTAAAGCATTAATCAACGAAACCGCCATTTTGCTTGCCTGAAACGCAATTATGATAGCGAAAGCAACAAGAATTCCAGCCACGTGAAAACGCAGAATGGTTGAAAATACCGCATTTTTGAATGTTTTTCATGCCAGTTTTTACCGACTTTTGTGTTGCAGCGATAACGCAAACAATTCGCTTTGCACATAACAATGGTTGTTGCGTGACTGAATGGTACCATACTTCGATTGCGATAGCGGCATGAACAATGCATGTTTTGTTGTCGCACGTGCTATCTAATCTTTTCACTATTTTTCTTTTACAGAAGCAGCCACCGAAAGAGCTTTCTTGTGCTCGCCTCAGCGAACATTTCAATAAGTTTTGCAGTTATTAAGTATGTTGCAGTGCTTATCTGTGGTCCAGACTAATCAATGGTTGTACGATCCGGAGTCTTCGCAATCTGCCGGCCACATAATGGGCAAATCCCGCATACAGTACTTATATTGCACCGAAAATAAATGTCAAAATCATACCTTGTATAAACGCCTATCTAATGATTAAAGTCCAGTTTAATCACCTAAACCGGAGCATAGTGTGGCTGTTTCTCCCTGTATTAAAACCTAAATTGATTATAATTCATAAAATGCTGTCTTGTACGAAACAGAGCTGTGTACGTACGGTGCAAATTTGAGATTGATTTACGATTCCGGCTGTAGACAAGCAGGCTTGAGTGTCGTATTGCTGTACTCTGTAGCTTCGTATTATTTGTACAGTCGTAATTACACTCGTATATTTAAAAGCTCTCTGCTGGTAGCATATCTATTCTACATTCCATTTAGTACTTATAAGACTGTATCCAAGTGTGGCAAAATTAGGCAGCGGGCCTGGCAGCCTGATAAATGATAAAGCGTTCGTTTCAATTAATTTTGCTAACCGGCTTTCACCACAGCGAGGGTCTATCGTTCTAAGTTACAGATATCGCAGATAGAATGGTCATCTAGATTATTAACCTAATTAAATCAGTCACAATATAGCCTGCTGTGTCTGTAACTTGTGACTTATGAATAATCAGGACCGTAGCAATGTGATTGATTTTCTGTGGTGTTTGTAGCCTTCAAGTCGAGCTACGATTGTAAATAGGCGCAATGGCATCAGCTATCGATAACGTTGGTTGTAAATGCCCAGCAGTCAAAAGAATGCTCCTGTAAACAGCATTGCTTAATTGAGGTCAAACAGGGACATATCGATAAAAACGGTTGTAACTACAGTCGTAAACAGATACTGTATATAAATCGTTTGCGCTGACTATGGATTCTTTACCATCACACTGCCACTTGCTATCTCCTGCTGCAAATAGTAATGGAAGAAACATCTTCGTCAACACATCCCCGAATTTCGATCGGGATTCTGGACACCAACATTCTGATGAATATCGGTCAAGCTATCCTAAAGGTTAACAACGGAACGGTCGATTATTGTGCTAAGTTCGAGTCTGTGTTATCTGCTGTCTGCAAGATGAACAGCTGTATTCTGGTACTACCGAGCAATGTCGATTATGAACTGCGTGAGATCAATGAGCGATATGCAGGTCATCCCGCACGACGCGCATCAACCGATTTGGTTTTGTCAACGTTGCGAAATAAGCTACCGAGTGTGCCTTTATTGCCGTGCGATATGACAGATTTCACCGATGACTCTGTGGATCGTTCACTTGTTGAACTTACGCAGTCTTTAGTGGAATGTTTTCCTCTTGTTGATGTGTTCTTGATTACGAACGACAAGATTCTACAGTTGGTCGCACTAGTCAATGGTATCGCTTGTGCTGGCCTTTCTTCTGGTGATGATTTATTTTACGTACATGCTGTGAAGCTTCGTATTGACCTTTGGGATGTTGGTGTTCAGTTGAATAAGCTCTTTGGTGCCGTCATCCAGCAGGAGTGGCGAGATAGATCAAAACGGCAGTCGAACGAACATACGGTGGAAATGCTGACCGCGGCGTTAGGCATTGTTGACGAGCAGAAACGCGGAGGTCGCCGATCCATCAAGAAGAAGTGCGGTATCTTATATAACGATACGGTGGAGGACTACACTGTTGCGTTGCCCAATAGTGTGGATGGTGTTGAATGGCAGCTCTTAGGGGATTCGGTTAGCTAGTATGGTTTGGTTTTAGGGACGTTTATTTGGAAGTGTCACGCAGGCTATCGTCGAATTGTCATCGTAATGAAATGCCCTTGGATCTTCGATCTGTAGCGAAGAGGCAATATATCAGCGGGAAATCAGCAGTTTCCTCTGGAACCGAAAACTGTCGCGCTAGAAAATGGAAACTGATATGGAGTGCAACGTTTATGATTAAGTGAGGATTCCACCAGATGGCAAATTTCGCCGGAATGGCGGCCGATTTACGGTGCCATCAAGTTCAAGGAATGCCATTAGGATGCCAAGCAGTCTTTCGTCGAGTTCTTTGGTACAATGAACTAAATAATATGGCGTTGTCAACCATACCCTAATCTGAACTGATGGTGTCATACGTATTTGTGGGTATGCGTTATCTCTAAATTGAAGTCCAATGTAATAAACCCGAACGGCAGGACCATCGTCCAGCAAGCATTACTTGGTGGCCATTTCCGGCTATGCAAAAGCCGGTTAGCGGATTGGAACTGGATTGGCTGTTCCGCTCCCGATTGGTTGGTTAATTCCGATTTCCGGAAATCAACTAGTATTTAAAGAACCGCGATCGGAGTAAAGGAAAGTGTCGGCAGAAATGTTGTTCGGTAATTCATGCTGACCGTGTACATATACCAACAAAGAAACAGTGCGTAATGAATGAGTATAAAAAGGCAAATGTATAATTTATAAGTTCATACGCTTGAACTGCCACTTTTATCAGTTGATTCCGCGCGGAATAGGAAAACAGAAGGCGGAGCGCACTAATCAGATACAAGAAAAGCCGTATTTATCTTATCCCTTTGACGAGGAGACCATGGGAATATTGGACGACACAGCTAAATAAATATTCGGTTATGAAAACGGAATCATTCGTGCAAAATCCAGCATATAAACTGATCTAAATGTTTTTTTTAAAGAACAAATCAGTTCATCGATTTTTAAAAGGAATGCTTAAGCTAATTCAAGAATTTTGCCGGGGAAGAACGATTTTTTTGTTGATAATGGCTTTGGTGTCTGGAGAACAACTGGGAAAGAAGCATTTTTATTTGTCTACTACACTAGCTACAGTAATTAAAAATTTTTAATTGTAGTATTGAGATGGAAGCTTTTTAATGGTTAAATACCTTTAATAAGTATAACATAAGAGTACAAACTATGTACTTAAAAAGAACAGGTGATGAAGCGTACGAGACGGTGGCAACTACTGCTTTTAATGCTGCTGCTGCATGAGCTGCTGCTGCTGCATGCTGCTGCTGCTGCTGATTGCATGAGCAGAATACTGTAGAAATGAAGACAACATACTGCGCTGTCGGCTTTTAATTGAGTCTTTCCCTGTATGTATAATTATTCGTGTCTTTAATTCCGGGTGGCATCTATGAGCGTGACCCAACTCATTCAGTCATACTGGCCCAGTTATTTGCAGCTCGTAACTGTAAAACGTTTTTCTCTCACTGTAGTCATTGCTGTGCAGTAACTGCTTAATTAAAATTAAAAACCATTCAATCTTGAGAAGGGTAGGTCACAGGTTGTGGGGTTTCTCCCGGATCTTCGCATAACATCAACAAAGTAAAATATAACGGTGAATGATTTTTGATCGGGGTGGCTTTCCACTTTTTCATGCCTTTTGCTCTTTTTGCTGTCCCTTAATTTGGTGTCATTAGACAAATGGTAAGCTGTCCGAACGGTTAGCAGAGAGTTTATCACGCGGGTGCACAATCATTCCCAGAATAATGGATTATTTTACGTGCGGCAAGCGTAATAATCATCACGCGAATTTTGGGAACACTGTGCTGGTTAATCGTGGTGATCAAGTTTGGATGCTGGCGTACGTTCAGGATGTGGACGGCGACAACTTGTACGTCGACTATGATTGTTCCGCGCTGGTGCCTGGTTGGATTCAATCTGAATATGTGTGGCAGCACGTTTACGACGACAAGCCTTGGACACCGCATAATGTCTACGTTGCTGTACGCAGCAGCGCGGAGGGACCGTACATCTTCCGTCCGGCCAGCGTGTTAGAAATACAAGAACCCCTCCTCTATGCAACAATGTGCGCTATGGTGTCCTTTAGTGCCACTGAAGGGAATCCCGAAGCCAAACACGTGGTGCATCAGTGGCAAATTGTCGAACAGCTACCGACCGAGCAACCATCGCTGGGTGGACGAGTGCGCGAGCTTCCCTTCCTCAAACTGACTATTCGGTCAGACCATATTCATCGCATACACAAGCTCAAAGAGCACGAAATTTTGCGATTTATGCAGCTAGTAATTAGTGCCGCTAGATACGAGTGCAATTCGCTGCGCGCCCAAAAGGATCGATTCTTTGTGAAGTTGGAGAACGACCGGCTGGAATGGCTGCTTATGGAGGTGCATGGATGGGATACATTAGCAAATAGAGCGAGCAGAAATTTCGTTTTCATGGCTAGTGCTAAACGGAGACTGTTATGTGCTGCCGAGAATCTCATCGAATTCTACACTAATCCTAAAAGGGAGCAGGAAGCCCGCTGGACCGCTTACATTTTAGGTACGTAAGCAGTCTTAAAGTTGTGCATTACACGGTTGTGAATTTGGAGCTTTTCAGTTTGCCATAATAGATGACTATAAGTACATACCAGGTCATTAAAGTTGGAAAAAGACCTTTGGAAATTATTAGTACGATCGTTGCAAATATTTTCATTTGTTTGCAGCTTCAGCGCAGAACGGCTACGGTTTGCCAGATTCGTTAGCTCTGCAGCGTGTTGCGAATGAGTGGTTTGCACCATGCAAATGCCAATATCTATTTCCAGTGCGCAGCAGAGACAGATGTTTGTACAGATATGTTTGTGACCACACGGTTCCCAGTTCAGCAGGTCGCTTTGCTCATTCAGGTGAGTCAACTAATGATTTTGTGCGAACGTTTTGGTCTTCTGGTAATGCGATGTAAATGAAGTATTGTCGCTGCGGTATCCTAATACTGTCCAAATTGTCGTTGCAGACAGCATAGTCTTCGTGCCAGGAACTTTTGCCGTCACTGTTTTGCCGGAAGTACTGCTGCAACTGGACAGCTGTTCTCGAGCTAGAATGAAACGGTAAGTGATAGCTGATTGGTTATCCGGCTGCCTACTGAAATTGTTTGGTTGAAAAAGACCTGATACCATGATCGGTTTCCAAAATATTGTTTTCGAAAATAATAATCAAGCGGTCGTTTTCAGAGTGTGTCACCTGTGGAATGAAGTGCTGAAAACCGTCTCCTTCGCGGCATTCGTTGTAATTGACTTCCTGACCATCCGCCAATATCCTCTGGTTTGTGCCGAAACCCTTGGTTATGTCATTGGCTGTGTGGCCGATCGCAGCGTGAACCGTTCCACCCAGACATTAGCGCTACTGCATCTCGGTCGACGCGGGAATGTCTATGGAGCATTAAGCACTGTTGCTACTGTGCTAAGCCAAAGGAAGATCCGGCTGGCAATCGTTGTCATTAAAAGCTGTGTTGTCACGCTCGAGTTAGACTGCGTCCGCAGGCCAATGAAGCATTTTCTGCACAATCTATCGTTTCTGATGCCGTATTGCCGGCGGTTGTTGCTCCGAGATTACTCGATTATGAATGTCTTCTGCGATTGTTCCGAGCGGTATCGGCCTTATGAATTTGGCTCTCGCCCGGGCAAGCCTCGTCTCCCTGTAACATTCTTCAAAGAGGCTTTCGACTGCTCTGCCTTTTCCGAATCCCAGGAGGATGTTATGTTCATTGGTGTCCATCATTATATGGCTGCATTGGAAAACAGTTTACCTCTAGTTGATTTGGTCCGAGAACGCGTGCGCAGAATGTGGGAAGTGATGACGAAGAAAGCTGAGTATCCGTTGGAATGGAGACGCTTTCGAAATTTTCTGACATGGTAAATCATTGGTAATCCTTTATTAGCTCGTATTAGCCCGGCAGGAAGGTGGATGCTTCTCCTTCGACTATTAGCCTTTCTACCGGTGACAAACGAGTGCCACTACCGCAGTATTAGGCTGGCTGGCGGGCTAAATTTAGCTCCGTCGAGCCAGCATAAAGTTATTGATTTAGTTTCGCAAACATGGAATAATTCTTAAGTTTTTTTGTACCAAAATGTAGGTAAAGTTTTTCTGCATCTTTTCCGTGGTTAGTTGCTGTATTTGAGTACGCTTTCGCACTATTGGGAATAAGAAACAGTGTAGGCTCTCGACCGTTGTTTTTCATCATTTAAACGTCCAGGGACTATCTTATGCTAAAGTCGACCTACTCCATCAGTTGCTACTTAATCAGGATAATCAGTCTAAAATTTTATGTCTTTCGGAATCTCATCTGTCTGATAATGATCCGGATCAGCTCTACACCTTTGCTAACTACCAACTGTTTCGTAAGGACCGCACGAAAGCATCGGGTAAAACAAGGGGGGGTGGCCTGCTACTGTATTGTCCTGCTCATATCCCATGTCAAGAGGTTCGCAGAACTGAAACGTGCGGGCGTTGTGAAAGCTTGTGGGTTCTCCTCCAGATAGGACAGCGAAAGGTGCTACTTGGAATCTTGTACAGAGCCCCTGATGCCAGCGCCATTGATACTGAATTTCTTTTTAACCATGTGGACGAAATGTTGCTTAAGTATCCTGGTATTGATCATGTGGTATGTGGCGATATTAACATTGACGTCTCAGTACAGTCTTCTCCCTATTTTCGCTATTATCGCGGTTTATTGAACAATCATGCGTTGATCGATACGGTAGCGGGATATACCAGGATAGCTTGTCGAACTCGGAAGAAAGATGGTACATTAATGCACAGTGCCAAGAAGATTGACGTGATGCTGTGTTCACCAGCACAAAGTTATTCCTCTTTGCCAGCCGAGGACGTGTGCTTTTCAGATCACAGACTATGCAGAACAGTTGCGTCCTACAAATCAGCAAGTCCTATACATAAAACGATTACGTTCCGATTGTGGAAGCATACACCAGAGGAAGTGTTCCACCAGCGCGTTCATGTAGTTTCAGAGAAGTTTAGCGTGTATGACGAATAAATCCCCATCGAAGATTTTATAACAAATTATGTGAATGAATTGAACCAGATCGTTGAAGAGTGCTATCCCCTAAGATCCCGAAGAGTCCGCCAGGATGATCCACCCTGGATGAGCATGTCGTTAAAAAACCTAATTAAAGAAAAGAATCAAGCCTACCGCCTTCGGTGCCAGTTCCGTGAGCAACCCGAATACACGCAGTATGACGATCATTTTCACGCACTGAAAAAACAAGTCCGCTTTGCTATTATCGACGAAAAACGGAAATTCTTCCAACACAACCGGGATGCTGGAGAAGTGATTTGGCGCGAGCTTGGAAAATTACTTCGGAAGAGAAAACAAACGGAAGAGCCAGCACTGGATCCGAATTTACTGAATGCGCACTTTGTAGCACAAGGACTGCATGGCAATGAACACGCTACGCCACCCACCCCTTCGGGCGGTGGCAGTACTAACCCTTTGCTTTGCAGATTTGAAGAAGTCACCGAGGATGTCGTTTCTTTCGAGTTGCAGAAGATGGCCAAACGAAAAAAAAGCGCTGGACCATGTGGTATACCTGCAAAAATCCTCGGTGGAATCCGCAAGTATTTAACGAAACCGTTGACGTGACTTCGCTGAAGTCCGGAGTATATCCTGATATTTTCAAAAGTGCCGATGTAGTGGCAATACCAAAGCAAGCCAATGCCCAACAGTCAGATGACTATCGCCCCATATCCCTCGTATGCAATCTCTCCAAAACTTTTGAGAAGGTAGTGCAGAATCAGTTGGTGACCGCTCTGAAAAAAAACAACATCCTTTCCGACAAGCAGTCTGGATTTAGAGAAGGACACTCCTGTGAAACACTGCTCCTTAAAGTTTCGGAGAGATGGCGAAAAGCAATCGATAACGGGCATGTCACTGCTATATGTCTCCTTGACCTGAAAAAGGCGTTTGATTCGGTTTCCCATGCCAAACTCCTCGAAAAACTAAGAACGATCGGAATCGAAGGCAACGTGTTGAAGTGGTTTCATGGTTACTTAACCAGTCGGAAGCAGAGAGTGAAAGTAACCGCGCGTGTGTCTGAGTGGCTTCCAGTGCGGTCGGGAGTTCCGCAAGGGACGCTGATGGCGCCTGTACTGTATACGGTTTATACGAACGACATGACTAACGGAAGCGACGCAGAATGTTTTGCAGATGACACCATACTGTTCGGATGCGGTGCCACCAAAACAGAAGCAGCAGCGAAACTGACTGTTGAAATTAGCAACGTGACGGCTTGGCTTGCAGACAACACCTTGTGCATTAACGAGAAGAAGTGCAAGCTAATGTACATCTGCTCGGACGCAAAGAACAGCCAGCACTCTCCTGCTGTAACGATCAACGGTTATCAGATGGAAGCGGAACAGTCGGTCAAGTATCTTGGCGTTTACATTGACCGCAACCTGAAGTGGAGTGTGCATTACGATCACGTACTGCGGAAAGTCAACTACGGCATCGCAATGATCAACCGCGCGAAAGACGGCCTGGATCTGCCTCAGCGTAGGAGCCTTTACCATGCCTGTGTACAGCCACACCTTGACTACGGGTCAGGTACGTGGTCGCCGGCATCTTCGGCTTTACGCGACGAGATAGACAGGGCACAGCGGAAAGCACTGCGGGCGATTTCTGATTACAAGGAGCGGGTTACACCCGAGCTGTATCAGAAACTGCGCATCCTGCCGGTGTACGACCGTTGGAAGCAGTCGGAAGCGGTTTGGTTGTATAAGATCTACAACCACGAAGCATACCATCCGCCGAGGTACATGGTCGAGATGATCGACTTCACGGATTTCGGAATGCGGTACAACCTGCGGAACCCAACGAGAATTGCTGCCAGAGCGAAGAAGAAGATCGGAGAAGGCACGCTGGCCATGCGACTAAAGAACATCTTTGAGCGCATACAAAAAGTTAACTTGCATATACTCAGTGTTGATGGTGTGGGATTTTTCAAATTTGCTCTCCGAACAGTTGATCTGTCTTAGAAATTGTTATTTTGTTTAGTGTTGTGCCGACCAGACGTTGAAGTCCCGTTTAGCGGGTTGTCTGCTCCTGATGTAATAATAATAATAATAATAACTAACGCGCAGACTTTCCACTCCAATAGACTGCATTGCTTTTTGGATTTATTTACTGTACCTATCAAATAACTTTAATCAGTATGTTTTGCAAAAGGCAGCGCCTAGTGTTCGCACGACCTAGATGAAGAAACTATTCCAGTTAACGTGAGATGGACCAGTTCCCAAAATACTCTGAGCATTACTACGGTACTGTATCTTGTTGTTAGTAGCCATAAGGCAGCCACGAGCGCCACGAAATTAGGCAGCTAGAAATATGGTTAGTATTCTAAAAGACACACCACAATAATTTCTAAGATAAGGTTAATAAACCGGTTTGTGAGTCCCACGACTGAACTCAACGTACCGTACAAAGCATTTTTACACATTAATTTTATTTCGCGTTTATAACCACATTGAGTAATATTATCTAACCCTTTGCAGCCATTCATTCGGCGATGGAGTAATCAGCAACGAGTACTGGCAAACTGCGGACCTACGTGATTTCGACGCACTGCATCTTAGCCGGTTCATGCTGCATCTACTGGGCGCCAGCACGGAACTGCCATTTAAATTTCAACCTCATGAGGAATGGTTTGTTCCCAATGACCCTTAAAGTTCTTGCAAAGGATATCGCGGCATGTATGAATTGAGCTGGTAATGGAGTCTCCTGGCCGAAGAATCGCGCATACACCGTGCGAGCGAACAGCGGAACTTACTGATTAAAACACAGCTACGAAATGGTGAATGAATTCCTAAAGTAAAATTCTTGCCAAAATTGAAAATTACAGCGGTTACGGTAAACTGTAAATTCACTCGCCGAAGACGCCAAATCAAAAAAAATAATAATTACATAATAATGACATAACGTAATAACACACGTACGAAAAGGGGATGCATCATGCATATACCCCAACCTCTAGGGTCACAGATTCCAGCTTTGCTCCCAGATATCAGTACCACACAGCCACGTGTTTAAATCAGACTGCAATACGGTCGTAATATAAACTGACTCCCATATCCGTACTCCCGTATCCTAAATGACTCCCGTATCTCATATCCTGAGTCCCGTATCCCGTTTTCTGGGTCGTACGATGGGCTGGCAGTTGCTCACTGATTAATCCTATAAGTTGAGCAGATCCCGTTAGCTATTAATATTACGGGTTGGTGTTTAGACGTTTATTTGGACGTAATCGTGGCGTGCCACGCGGATATCGTCGAATTGTCATCAAATTGAATTGCCCTTGGATTGTTTTCCATGTTTCTGATGGTTACAACAATAAAATACAGATGGATATTGAGTAATAGGTATTCTTTATAGTTTAAAGAGTTATGTTCCTCATTATTACACTTCATTTTTTTAAATCCGGATGGCTTTAATGAGCGTTGCCGCACTCATAGAAAGACAACGATATAATATAGCACAATAGTGCGCTATTTGGAGCTCGAAATTTCGTCACGGTTCACGGACATGTACATGCACAAGGTAAAAACAATTCAAATATTGTGTAGGTCAGGTCAGCGATTGTAGGTCTTACTCCCGGATATCAGCGCAAACCAAACGAACTGCAATATAAAGGGGAATAATTGATCGCAGCGGTTGTCCACTTGCTCACTCTATTTGTGCGGCAAACGCTAAGCCGGTCGAAAAGTTAGCAGAAAAGTTCTTAGCGCAGAATTGCAATCTTCCCAAAATAATGGATATTTCTCCTACGGTAAGCGTAACGATCATCACGTGAACTATGGAAACACTGTGCTGATTAATCGTGGTGATAACGTGTGGATGCTGGCGTACGCTCAGGATGTGGACGGCGATAACGTTTACGTCGATTATGATTGTTCCGCTGTAGCGCCTGCTTGGATCAGTTCCTCAAATGTGTGGCAGCATGTTTACTACAAGCCACCCTGGAGACCGGGCAATGTATTCGTTGCTGTACGCAGCAGTGCTGATGGACCGTACATTTTCCGTCCTGCCCGAATGCTGCAAATAAAACCTGATTGTCTCGCCTGTGCATCACAAAGGCCACCATGCATGATGGTGGCTTATAATGGCAGTAGAGACCACGAAATCAGACAGGTTGCACATGCGTGGCAAGTTGTTATACAGCTGCCGACGGAGCAGCCACCACTGTATGGACGATTCCACGAGAACTTTGGCAGACTGACTCTTCAATCACATCACATCCGCCTCATCCCGAAGCTCAGAGAGCACGAGATTGTGCGATTTGTTCAGCTAGTGTTTACAGCTGCTGGATATACCCACGATCCGTTTCGTCCTTGTTCGGATCGATTTTTCGTGAAGGTGGAGGATGACCGACTGGCACATTTAATTTTCCACAAAGAATAAGGTGTTGGCTGTTCGTCTGCTATTTTGCGTATTACGTACGTATAGCTTCAGAGCCTAAAATAGTGGAATTTTAAAGATTGACGCCCCCCTGGGGATGGAGTGAGGGGACACCCCCCAGGAGGGCGCAGGTTTCTTAAACTTCCAAAAGCATGCGCAAAGATTTTGTGGGTATTGTGAAATGCAAACGCTGTGCAGACTGTACATAGGGGTAACCGCAACGATATGCTTTGTAACGCATTTCTGTTAATTTTCGTAACTCGAAATCTTAGCATATTCCCCTGTGTAAAATATAGCCAACTGGATAGCCTGAGAAAACATAATTCTCTACTCCAAATTAGTACTATATATACTCCACCCGATGACTGCCGTTTCCCACCAGAGCCTGATAATTACGTTTTGCCACCAACAGTCTCTCCCGCCGAGGTGATGAATGCTGTTTTCAGCTTCCCTACTGGATCAGCAGCAGGAGTTTTCGGCCTCCGCCCGCAGCATTTAAAGGATCTTCTGAATCGTAAGGATGATCAACAAAGTGATCTCTGTGTCGCCCTCACCGATCTGACAAATCTGGTACTCAAGACAGACATTCCTGAAGATATCCGACCATATTTTTTTGGTGCCAATTTAATCCCGCTGGGAAAAAAAGACGGAGGCGTGAGACCGATCGCTGTAGGGGAGACGTTACGCAGGCTGGTATCCAAGATCGCCAGCAAGAGGTGCGCTGAAGAAGCAGCCGGAATGTTCTCCCCTGTGCAACTTGGGTTCGGCGTAAGAGGAGGTGCCGAAGCGGCCGCCCATGCTGTCAGAAGTTATTTTGAAGCTACCCATGCAGACGCACGAGTTATTGTGAAACTGGATTTTAGGAATGCCTTTAACACTCTGCGCCGGGATGTGTTATTGACAGCAGTGCGTGATAAATTCCCTGCATACTTCCACTATTTTTGGCAGTCCTATCGTTATGCCTCATATCTCTCGTGCGGCAAGATCCAGTTGTCATCAGATACCGGCGTACAGCAAGGTGATCCGGCCGGCCCTTTCGGTTATTGTCTTGGAACGCTGCCTCTATTCGAAAATTTAAGCTGCGATATAGCAGTGGGCTTCTTGGATGATGTCACCTTAGCAGGATACGCAGAAACAGTCATCGCAGCCATTCGTTTAATCATTGCACGTGGTTTTAGAATGGGACTAGAACTCAATCTGAGTAAATGCGAAGTTTACGCCGTGGGTCAATTCACTGCGGATCGGTTGCATGCTGTTCAGTTGGTGCTCGATGCTTTTCCCGAAATGGTGGTAACGAAAGAAGAAGAATTTGTACTCCTTGGTGCGCCAATGACAGCAAAAGCATGTGACGTTTTCCTGCGCAATAAATGTGAGCAACTGGAATTCTTCATATCGCGTCTTAAAATCATTCCAGCACATTACAGTCTATATCTCCTGAAAAACTGCTTGCTGATACCGAAGTTACTCTACGGGTTCCGCACAGGCAGATTTTATCAACATGTGGAATTGACCGAAACTATAGATAAGATCGTTCGTGCCGGTTTGCAATCCATTCTGAACATCCGCGTGAACGATGCACAGTGGAGCCAGATGACGCTTCCTATCAGGGACGGAGGAATGGGACTACGGAGTGCCAAGTCGCTAGTGTTTCCTGCCTTTTTGGCATCGGCGTACTCGGTGATCTCTTTGGTTTCAACAATCTATCGCCCTGCTACGGAGGAATCGCTCGATGCGATTGTGCAACGCTGGATGGAAGAGACAGGCTGTGAACCCCCTGTTACAGAGCAAAGGAAATTCCAGTTTGCATGGGATCGGCCATGGATCGATAAAGCAGTGGTGTCAATGAGACTGGCCATTACCGACGAAACGAGTCGAGCGGTATTGTTAGCTGCGCAACACCGTGACTCAGGCGCATGGCTGAATGCGTTGCCTGCACCAAATTTGCGTACGTTTTTGCGGGATGAAGAAGTACGAATCGGTGTGGCACTTCGTTTCGGACTTCCAGTAGTAGAAAAGCACGATTGCGTGAACTGCGGAAGCCATGTGGAGACGAATGGCCACCACGGTCTTTCTTGTACCAGCAGCAGAGGCAGATGGTCTAGACATACGGAACTAAATGCCGAAATAAAGCGGGCTTTGGAACATGCGGGGTATCCATGTCAAAGCGAGCCTCTCGGACTGTCAGGCATAAACAACACGCGGCCAGACGGCATGACTCTCGTCCCGGTACGGGATGGTAAGGCGCTGGTATGGGACGCTACATGCTGGGACACGGTAGCCGCATCGCATGTCCGGGCAAGTGCGAGTGCATCCGGTAGTGACGCATATGGTAACGCTTACGGTGGAAAGGATGGGTTACCTGTTTTACGCCCTGGCAGTCGAAACTTTTGGCACTTTCGGTTCGGATTTTATGGAGCTCATTCGTTTCGCTGGCAGAAAGATTCGCGACGTGACAGGGGAATCCCGTTCTACTGCATTTTTGAAGCAGAGATTAAGTCTAGCTGTAGTGAAAGGAAATGCCGCTGCTGTTTTGGGCACCTTGAATATGCGTCCTAGGATTTTTGATAGCAATAACGATTTTGGCTGTTTTTTTTAACGTTTAAATTTGAATCATTTTAAGTAGTATTACGCGAATGCACTTTTTGTAACAGCACTTGCAGCCGGTTTCCGGTACAACATTTATGACATGAAAGCTAACGATGCACCCCATTAAAACAATCAGCGTCTTTAGTCGGTAGTTCAGTCTTTTTGGGCCGGTTTATTTCTCTTCGACAGTACAGTAGTCAACGACGTCGACAAGCCATTAATGCCTGACCAGCATTCAATACTCGTACTGCCGTTCGTTGACAAAATACGGCTCTGTATTGTGATGTGCTCTTGGGAACTGAGCGCATTATGCTAATATACGGACTGTATACTAGATCAATGATTAAACTGACAGTGCGTTTCGCGTGATTTATTGTAACAAATAATAGTCTAATCCACATTTTTAATTTATTTTTTAAATCGCTGTAACAGGCAAGCGCGAGGAGATCACGAGTGAGCTTTATTGTACAAAATAAAGGAACAATGCTGCGTAATAGCAGGGAAAGCAAGAACAAAAGCACTGATGGCTAAACAGCAAGTGATGCTGAAGTGGATTCTTAAGCGTCTGTCAAGGCGTGAAAGAAGCAACTCGCGGCAAGCACGTGGTGTGTGCCATCAGCTGTGTGATGATGCGCAGACTGGACTCGATCCAACGCGAGCGTATGAACGCTGAGTCATACTGCGAG